AGTCAGGTTTGGGTGAGCTAAGTCGAGTTAAGTCGAGTTTAAGTGACAGACTCACCAAATGCTGGTAGTAAAACACGGTACACCTGGTAAATTCGTAAATTCGTAAATCTGTAAATTTCAGGGCGCTGGCCTGCCGCGGGCGCTAGTCAGAATTGCGAATTTCAGCCGAAGTAATTAGTCTAGAAGTGACACATTCACGGCGCACGCAATATGAGTTAAGCCTGTCACACACTGGATTCAAAAGGCCGTTCGGTTTCTGTAGACTCGGACTGACCGTCGTCCTGTCCATGCTGTTAATGCAAACTCACAGTGAGAGCATGACAGAGTTAGAACTGAACTGCTGTACATACCATACCCATAATTAATACATGTTGATTGCTCTCAAACTGACTCCTTCAAGGTTTAAGTCTTTGGAGCCCAGACGAAGTGGCAAATAAACAATCTCAGAACGACGACGTTGGGAAGCGAAGAGGGCGCGCAGGCGCGCTTAGTCAGCCACGGCGGGCCCGAGGTTGTACGTTTGAACCTGCCAGAAATCCCCTTTACGAAATTTACCCTTGGCAAGGTGAAATTCGTGCGATAAAGTTGGAAAAGTGCGCATAGATTTGGAATGGCAACACCTGCAAACAAAGCATGACATTATGTAATCGTAAGGGTGTCAGCGCAGTTTGAATTTAAATAAATTGAACCTCCGCTTCAATGCTCAAGCGCTCAAGTTCAACTTTCAAACTTGGACGTGCACAGACACTTGCATGTTGCATGTCGACTATCGTCGACTGCACTGCAAGTTGTCTGTGACAGGCCATTGACTCGAGACTTGGATTCAGCGTTGCATGCCGACCATCGTCGACTGCACGCCGGGGGGTTCTCTACTATTATATGCAACATTGACCCTGGACTTGGCGTTGCATGCCGACCATCGTCGACTGCACGCCGGGGGGTTATTATATGCAACGTTGACCCTGGACATGGGCTCGACGTTACATGCCGACTATCGTCGACTGTACGTCGAGTTCTTTTTTTCATATTAATGTGCGATATTGACCTGGACTTGGCGTTGCATGCCGACCATCGTCGACTGCACGCCGGGGGGTTATTATATACAACATTGAGTCTGGACATGGGCTCGACGTTACATGCCGACTATCGTCGACTGTACGTCGAGTTCTTTTTTTCATATTAATGTGCGATATTGACCTGGACTTGGCGTTGCATGCCGACCATCGTCGACTGCACGCCGGGGGGTTCTCTACTACTTACTATGTGCAACATTGACCCTGGACATGGGCTCGACGTTACATGCTGACTATCGTCGACTGTACGTCGAGTTCTTTTTAACATAATGTGCAAAATTGGCCCTCTAGATATAAACTTCACGTTGCATGTCGACTATTGTCGACTGCACGTCAGGGGGTTATCTCTATTATCATGTGGTAGTAGAGACTATTAACAAACAAAAATAAAAGCCAGGCGAGCTACACATTGATCAAAAGCTAATAGGGTGGATGTTTTCTTCATTCTCGTTGCCGTGAGCCCGTGCTTTCTTCTTCCCTTTGGTTTTCCTTCTCTCCTTTGCAAGTTCTGCCCTCTCGTAAGATTTACAAATACAACTTTGAAAGGTATATGCAGATCCCTCTGACATTCCGACTTTCTCTTCATAGAATCTGATACCGAAATGAGCTGCGGTGGGTAAATAAAAAATGCCGCGATCCTTCAGTTTATCAACATATTGGGGAAAGTTCATCGCAGGGTAGCGAGAATGGACAGTCCTAAGGACGTCCTCAATACCTTGCGGAAGTTCGTCGTCGTCAGACTCTTCGTCACTCTCCATGTAGAGCGCAAAAGTCCTCTTGAGTGGCTGGGGAGCCGTATAGCCTTCTCCTCGTTCTCTCGTAAACATTCCATCGGAGATTGTGTCATTGGTGGCGGGTGAGAGGTGGATATGATTATGGATAACGGGTGATATAATTTCAGTGGGCACCCTCTGGAGCGGTGACAACACGGTAGTTCGCTCTTTACGCGTCGTTCGAACTTCATTGAAATGAGGTGTCCTAGGTAAAGTGACGAAGTCTAAATCTCCAGTTTCATGCTAAAAACCATGAGCGCCATGTCGTATCCTCGCAGGTGGGTGGGTATACACGTACCAGATATTTAGCCCAGTCTTGTAGGTCCCGGGTGCACAGCGGATAGTGCGGGGTGTTGGGCTGGGATGCATCGACCCAGCAGAACGTGTCCTCTCTGAGGTTCGGATGGTCCGAGCAGCGCAATGTGCTCGTGACTGTTTCTAACTCCTTTGTATATCCGCCCGCAGAAGATGTACCTGCCTGTTGCCGTGTTTGCTTCTCTTTCAATCGTACAGCCTGCAAGTTAATGTCACATTACGCAGACCGCTTGCAAACATCAAAGCACTTACAGTATTGACGATTTCAATGGCAACTTTCTTTGTTTTTCTGCCAGAACCATGTTCCGTCCTCGCAGCTTTGAAAGCGCTATTGATGTCATGCGTTGTTAAAAGTCGATGAGGCGGGTCTATGCGGCGGGCAGTAGACAAACGCCAGCCTAAGTGCTGGTATGTCTTTGAGACATCCATTGTGGCCTTGATGGAGTCAAGTATGTCTATAGGACAATCTGACTCAGAATGAGAGCGGTCCACGTAAGTAGTTGACTGGTTTCTGTCCAGAGTGTGAAGAGGCACTCTAAATTCGACTAGTGGTGACATGATCAGCATCTCGTTGGACCTGATACTCATATGCGCATTTAACTTACTTTTCTCGAGCTGGGCCTGACACCGTTGTGCAGTAAGTTCGTCTACCGGTGATGGCGTCCGCTGTTCAGCCATTCCCTCGTAGAGATGCTGAACTGCACGCGTGCGATTGATTTCCTTGTCCTGAGTACTAGGCAGTTCCGGATAAGCACCGAGCAGGAAAGCTGCGGTTTGCGCACGAGTACGCTGACGAGCAGAAGGAATTGAATTGACCATAGACTTAATTGAAGACTGTAGCCTGAGAGCGTCGCGGGACATGTCGAGAAAACACAACGACAAAAGTTAAAACTCACCGTGACTTTTATAAACACGACGAAGGATCTGTAAACATCAATGGCTGAGCAATTAGTGATCGCAAACATCTTGCCGAGGGGGACTAACTAACTACAGCTCAATGATCACATCCATTGTGGCCTAAAATGATTTTTGCCGAGTTTAGCTGCGGCACCACTACCGGGAAGAAAATTAATATCACGGCGACGGATGATGCTTACGGTATCGATTTAACCATAAGTAGTGCAGGATCTCTGCTGTTAGTAGTTAGTACTGTCTGTGCATGGTTGCTAGAGCAAATAAATATGAAATGTCATATCTGGCTCCCTAGAGCCGGGTATCATTGTAGTCAAACTATCAGAGCGACTTGACAAATGCCAGACTCCGGAACTCAATGACGTATCTATTATTGCGGAACACCCATTATGGGGCTGCTGCCACCGTCACGTTAACTGATGATGATGACATTGAAAATGCCACCTACCACCAGGAGACGTTGAAGCTCAGGCAGTAAGAGGATGAGGATCAACGGAGAGTGACATTAACTTGGCAGACTGGGACCCCACTGGACAAAAATATACTTTCAAAAATGTTACCAAACTTTGCTCGCATGACGAAAACATTTGCCAGTGTGACAAAAACTTTCATTTGTGACAAAAACATTTGTCATGCGCCGAAACACTTTTCTGGTATGCGATTTTGAGCTATGTGATGAAGTATTTGAAAGCTTCCTAGCGAGAATTTTGTGGGATGGGGATTGGTAACCTTATAACTTCAAGCTAATGGAAAAAATCCTCGGCTAATAAGAGAGGAAGAATCAGAGTTACAAGGGACTCCTGCCTCCCTAGCCTGTGCAATAGTTGCAAAGCCTAGCTCGGCAGTCTGAAACATGCTCGATTGGTTAAACCAAACGCATGACCCTCTTCCATTCCCTCCATCTAATAAAGAAGAATTTTCTGGGGTAGGAGGCCTACCGTCTGTGCACACCAGCTTAAGATCTGATGACAAAGGTATTAGCAAAAGCCTGCATCTAGCAGGGTAAACCGCCTACCGCAAACGTCCACGTTGAAGTGAAAGAAGAGGGAGGAGGGGTACATGACAAAAACACCTGCCGGCATCTCCAAGATCAAACCAGCCTCCCATATCACAAGCCAGGAGCGCTCTTTGCTGTTGAACTTGCCTAGGTTGCCTGAAATCAGAACTAAAGAGCTGACTGAGGTAGAGGCTTACCATATACAAAGACAACGCAAACACCTATTGCAATATTCTTCCAGTCCACGTGGGGACTGCAGTGAACTCTCTCAACCCCTGCTCTTGCAGAATTAAGGCAGAAGCTAAAAAAATGACCATAAAGAGGGCTGATGCCCAGGGCTTGTGAGCAGTCCGCGTATCTCTTTGCTAGCAGGGGAAACTCGGCCCGAAACACTCGGTTCATAATGGCGCTAGAGGAGGTGTGAGGCTCAGGCAGTGGGACGGAGTGCAAGGCCTGCCTTATCTGAAACATTGCACCGTCAGGTCTCCAAAGTGCGTCAACAGCCTCAGCATTTGAGGAATGCCAGGCTGTGAGGGTGGGCACCTGTTTAAGGCTTGGAGTTAGAGCTTAGGTCATAAGCATCTTGAAGCTTACCTGTTTAGAATTCCTGTCATGCCCGCATATGCTACTCCAATGAGATCCTCTTGAATTCTCCTCCATCTCAGCCTCTGTAAAGCCACTCCTGTTGGTTTCAACGGTGCTTACAAATGCTGCGGCCTGCTTTTCAAATGCCGGGAGAAGCGCCTCAATACGCTCGCCAACAAAGGTGCGCACCAGCCACAGCCGCCCTTGAGAGTCCCTAATGTGAGTCTTCAAGCTAGAGTACATGGGCTCAGAGGCTGAGGTATGAAGGAGATGAAACGCCTACCCGCAGTAGGGAACTCTATCAAAGTCCTTTAGGCGTAGAAGAATGCTGTAGTCCTCCCACTGAGCTATGAGCTCCTTACCTTCCTTCGTGGATCCGTAGTTCGTGCCCTGCCAGCCAGTGCTGGAGGTGCGAAAGGTGAGCGCATCCAGGCCACCTTTGGACTTGAGCTCCTCAGCCTTGCGAGCGCGGCTCTGAAGCTGTAGCTCACGACGCCTCGCATCCCTCTTCACCTTAGCCTGGGATTTGGTATGCTCACGCGGGGTGTACGCAGGCTTGGACCGCGAAGGAAGGGCCTTACTTGAGGGGTCAGCAGCGCCCTCAAGCTTTACCTTCTTTGCAGGGGTAGCGCGCGGCGGGAATCGGTTGTCAAATGATCGCTTCATCGGTCTGAGAAAGCCTTGTGAGTTTGAAGGCACGCGCGTGCAGGGATGGCTCACCCCGTCCCTTCATAAGCATCTGATGTGCGAGGCACCTCTGACTTGGGGCCACCGTGCACTGCGCCCTTCAAAAGCTCCTCCACTTCTGGGTCGCGGTTTTGATCTTGATTTGACTCATGGCGCAAGAGGGCTACCTGCTCAAGGGACATACCCTCAGTAGAGAAGCCCTGTATGCCAGCCCTCGGAGCCGCGCCGTCCTGAAGTGGTGGGAAGCTGTCAATTGCAATCGTCCATGAGCTGCAGGCATCAAGGCTGAGGACTTAACCTACCACCGACTCACCACAGCCTCTACGGCAAGCCCTGTTGGCATCGGGAAAGTTGTGAGTCAAGAAACAACTCAGCGCGGCTACTCACGCGTGGCCTCTGAACCGCATTCAGCAGTCAAACTTGCGACCATCTCAATTCACTACACCCAAATTTGTCAGAGGCTTCAAAGTAAGGGCAGGCTTCAAATAGGCCAAATAAAATTCAACAGCAAAGGGCAAGCGCAAAAGGCCGTGCAGGTAGCTTCGGGGCAAACGGCCGTACCGAGCTTCTGCAATGGCCAAGTGCAGTGCGCGAGGCCAAGCAGCGCGCTTGCCTTGGGGACAAGCAGCCGCACCAAGCCTGTGCGACTGCCAAGCTGTGTGGCCTTGGTCCGCGCGGTGGTCACTCAGCTTCGGGGCAAACGGCCGTACCGAGCTTCACAACCTCGCCACGGTGCGGGGCTCACAACCAGCCTCTGACAAGTGCCAAAGAAACATCAAGAAAGTGGAGGAAGGGTCATGCTCAAATCAAAGTCAGGCACTCACCTGTCTGCTTGATGCCCGTAGCCAGTGCGTCTGCAACTGCTCCAGTGCCAAGTATAAGAAGGTAAGTGGTGGTCGTTTACTGAAGAGCGAATCGGAGGTTAGTGGTGAAATTTCCTTTTTGGAAAGGATAGTCGCACGCTCCTGAAAGCTTGGAATTTTGGTAGGCCTAGATATTGTTCCGAACCTAATGTCCGGCCAGTCGATCTCACGTTTGCGCCATAGATCCTTTGCCGCTTTCCTGGTTACATCCGCCGCACACCCACTCGTGAATATCTTCTTTGGTGTTCTTACCTCGAAATTTACGATGAAACGATATATGACCTACTCGCGCCACCTTCAATGTCTGCTGCTCAGCCCGTTCAAATTCAGGGTTCGGGTATTCTAGTACCGCTTCGAGAAGAAGCCGTGACAAGCTCGAAGAGCGTCAAAGAAGTCCTTGAGCGAGGAGAAAGGAACAGAAGGACAACTAGCACTGACCGGAATGAGCGGAGTAGTCGAAGTCACAGCGTATTCCGACTTGTAGTGGAGAGCAGAGAAAGGGGAGAGAAAAGGAACGAGACACCAAGCGGCCGTCAAACTCCCAGCACGCGCCCATCGACACCTGGCGGTCCTCGACTACAGACCATCGGAGGAAGAGGCGTGCAGACTTCGGTGCTGGTGGTTTTCATTTCTCTTTTCGGTCTGCCATCTCGCAGACAGTCTGTATACCTGTGCATAAACCGCGTAAGTTCTTTTCTATTTGATAATTTTATTCTCGTGTGCTAAGAGACGTAGCTAAGCCCAGATTATGTTGGTGTTGGACTGGGTATCGGCGAGAGCCTGCTCATCAAAGCCATCAGCGAGTCCACAGGACGCGGCGGCCTTGCAACAGTCAAAGCAGACCTCAAGAAAGAAGGCGATCTCGGGCTCGTGGCAATGGTGCTCGGCCATTACTCTCCTTAACCTTGACCACGAGCTTACACCATTCACAGAACTCCAAAAACAGTCAGAAGACGCTCTTTAAACCCAAGCCTCTTACAGTTCCTTTCGACTTACGGGAGGTTGCATTGTCATCTGGACATTCGGTTTGTTCCTCATGCCTGTACAAGTTCTCAAAGACTTAGTACCATTCCCTCTCCCACAGTCCCAGGCAAAGAAGGTATCAATTATCACAAAGCTCCTCGCCGCATGCCAGGACTTCGAGGCGAAGTACATTGTGCGCAGTCTGGAAGGTAACATTTCTTACGTATTAATATTGCCGCTGCCTCTATGGTAATGAGTCCTGCGGGCGAGTACTGCCACTACTGCAGCCTAGGTGAATTGCCTCTTTTTCGCATTGTACATCTCATTCGCACTTCCTCTGCAGACCCTTACTAGTCGCAGTTTCAGTCTTATTGCATGATTTGTCCACCTGGGCTGCTCACCTTAGTTATAAACGCTTGCGGTGAGCGCAACGATCTGCTCATGTGTCAATGTCTTGAATAGATTTTCCATGGCGGTATGTTCGGTAGTAGCCTCGTTAAGTTTGAAATCTATATCTTGGAAAACTCCTGTGGACATTTCGGTTAACGCCCACTTGAACAAAACGCTTGTATAGGTAAACAGCGGTTGGAGATTCTGTTTCTCGCCAATAAATTGTTTGTACTGCCTATCGTGGAAGAGTAGCTGCCGGATGAAATACAGTAGTGCTACATTCGCAAAAGGAATGTCAACGTTTTCTCCATTGACCTGAAGAAATTAACATGAGCTGTCATTGACAAGAAACTAGAACAAAATAACGAGCATTGACAGTACCTCTAAGGTAGGAATTATCTTTTATGAGTCTCTTTACAAAATTCTTCACCATAAGCTTGCTTTCCGTGTGCATTAACTGGTGTAAGTTGTACCCCCAGAGCGCAGCACTGCGAGCGAGAAATTTTATATTTTTTCGAAGTGTCGTCAGCGCAGTACACAATTTAGTGGCCTCTAGTTTGCCATCTTTCGTGTTGGACCAGGCAGTAAGTTCAGCTGTGGTCGATCAGCAATGGATAGTCCACGCCGAGTCCAGAGACCTACGGCTGTGGGACACCTGGGCGGTAATGCACACCTTTGCCATCCTTGCTACGTCTGAGCTGTCTTTCGGCAGGAAGGAGCTGTTAAGAAGACCACATTTCATCTGAAACAAGGACTCTGCCTTCACTTCATCTAAATCGGAAAGACCGAAAAAGATTGAAGGCACGGCTGGCACGGTCTGAGTTGAAGCTGCTGGTGCGGGAGATGGTGCAGAAATTGCAAGGAATTGCGCAGGAGGTGGCAGAGGGGATGGTGCAGGAGGTGGTGCAGGGGATGGTGCAGGAGACGCTGTTACCAGCGTGGGAGGTGGCACACCCCGGAGCACAGGAGATGGGCCATTGAATGCCACACCTTGAGACGGCCCTTCTTCACCTTGTTCTACAGCAGTAGGGTGAGATAATGGCCTATCACGGCGATGGCGCCGTTGCGATGTGATATAGGGTGCATGACGGACGCGGGGAGAGCTGAGATGTGAGTAGTAAGCCTGCAAATCTACGGTAGACTGTGAAATCGGTGGTCCCCCCTCGATTACGGGGTTGTCAAAATCAAAGGCATTGTGCATCCAGTCAAATGGGTCTTGAGAAGTGGGCCGACTAGGCGGAGGCTGGTGAGGCAGATTATGGTCTTGGTCCATTAGATGGGAGTCACTAGTGGAAAAGGGTTTGATAGATGGATAACGAGTGTTAACACTCGTTATCCATCTATCGAACAGCAAATGGAGGCATGGTAAATTCCGAACTTGAATTGTGACCATCGGACTCAATGTCAGATTCGTACTACTACTAGTAGTACTAGTAGCAGCACGAGGTTTCGACTTGAACTTTGCAATTGCAATTCAGTACCACAGTGACCTATCAACATGGTGAGTGATGGCCAGTGGGCCATGATTGCAGCAGCAGCCTGCCACATGACTCGGAACCTGTGACCTGATTTAGAAAGTCAGTTGAAGCCGCAGCACGACTCGGCTCGTTTACCGTGAACCTGAAACAACTTCGAGTTCTCTTGAGTCACTTCAGAAGCCTGGAGCCAGATGTGAGAACCCGATTTGTGACGGTAATTCAAATGAATCACACCTGACTGACTCAGTACGGTCATGGCAGTAGGACATCTTCGACTCGGTCGCCAGAAGGCAGTGGACTTCTCAGACACGTGATAAATTCTTATGGAAAGTTCTCACTGTCACGGTCTTTCAATCCCCGCCTTGTCGCCCAAGTTCATAACCTCGTCGTGACCGTTCCCTGAGTCCCGGTCAAGTCAAACCAACTATGATGCGTAGCCCTCAGGCTGTTGCTGTGCACACCCAGCTCTCCACTCCTCCAAGCTCTGTCGGACAGTCTAGTCATGAACCCGATAGCAGTGACGAGTCTCCTCAAATTATCGTTCGGGCTCCACCCAGCTCTCCGCCTGACCCTACACCTTACCGCAGCAAGAGACGCAGCCGTACAGTAGCACGTTCCGTACGCTCTAGAAATCATCGACGATCACCACCATCCAGCGACACCTCCCCTGACTCAGACTCACATGAGCTCTTTGCATTTCCACGCCCTCCTTCCGACATTATGGAGCGCCTGCCTAGCTTAGCGGGGCGTGCACAAAGAAAGTTTAGGCCTTATGGGAAGCCCCACGGTTTCGTGCCAAATGCATTAGAGCTCCGTTTTTTTCGAAGGTGCCTCGAATCTGGTGACAATGATATGAGTCTGGCAGATATTCAAGCGGTATGTTAGCCTGATTACATTTTTTTCATAGAAATTGACAAGCCCAAAACCAGGGCAAAGATATCTTGCAGGATTGTTTGAAACGCTTGTCTAAGAAAGCTCTCACTCAAGCTGTTGCTGCTAAGGAAGCTGACTGTGAATCTAAGCGCATGGCCGTTCTGGGAACAGCTTGGGCAGTCGAGGCAAAGGACCGATACCAGGCTCTTCTTGAAATGATCGTCGAAGAAGAAGTTGAAAGATATACTATTAGCTCTAAGGAAGCTACCTTTCTCCGGACTTTCCTGGTTGGATGTAGCAGGGAGGATCTCGAAGTTGCCAAGGACTTCGATGTGGGTGCACATAGTCACAATTCCAGGTCGTTCGCTGTTGCCGACTTAACCCTGAGTCATATTGAGGGTGTTAACACTGTCATGTCGTCTTCGCCAGAGGATGATTTTGTAGATGAATATGATGCCATGGAGTCTAATGGCTAAGGTGCGATTCTCAGGCTGTTCTTCATTGTAATACTTACTGACATGGCAAGGCGGGAGTTGTATGTTCTCAGCGGTGACCTTTGGATTGTTGTAATCATGCACCGTCATTATCTGGCAGATGACCGTCATTCATTCATTTCTTGTATCCGCCACAAATATAGCCTATAAACGATGATCGAAACGCATGTATCCTTGCTGATTGATATTGATGAATGATAACTTAAATGTGCTGCAGAACACGATAATGATTTTGATAGTTTGGTAACTGGACTTCATGCACTGCTTCACGCAAGTTCACTTCAACGAACTTGGAAGCACTGAGAACGTTCAGGTTATAAATTAGTACGGTATGACCCGGCACCACGTGCTTCACAACTTTGACTGGGCAAGTCTTTGCCTGTGAGTTTGCAAGATCTACTACTACTACTAGCACCACCACTGGCACCCTGGGCCAATCATCGAGTCAGCCTGGCTCGCACCTGAGTCGCTGAGAGCTAGTAGCACTGGTCCGACGAATGCACAAAAAACTTCTATGCCTTGTTCTTCTTTTGCTCTTTATTGATTATATGGTGATATCCTGCAATGCTCCAGGATGCATGTGGGAGAAAGCGGCCAGCGACAGTCGAGGACTTAGTAGGCACCGTGCAACATGCAAACCCTACCGCCTGTCCAGCGTCATGAGCAGCCAGAAAAGACGCGAGAGGGCAAAAGAGGCAGCTATAACTCTGGCACGACCGTTGCCAGCAGCAACAAACCGAGGCTCAGGCAACTCTTCGGTGAGCAACCTTTTGTATATAATTCAGAGCAGCGGGTCGAAGTTATCATAATGACAACTCAATTGTGTTTCTAGAGCATATCGCCCATCCGGCTCCGTATGGGGAGCGTCCGCATTAAACCCATCGTTCCGTGCCCTGGCAGACCATCAAGCAGATACTGGATTGAGGCTGGCATGTCTAGTGTCGGCTCAGTGGGTCCTGAGCATGGCCAGCAACCCGGGTCAAACCCGGACCTGGAGCGGCAGCAGTCTGATACTGACAACAACGTACTCAATACCAATGTTTTGGGTGTGTCACGACCCTTCCGAGTCAGTCACCCGAGTCAACTGATAACTTGTTTTGCTTTTCGCTTGTCAGAAGAACCTTGGCACCCTCTGGGACGAATACCCAGACGTTTTGAGGATGTCCCTCTTTCTGACGAGGATACCAATGACTTGGAAAATACCGATGTTTCGCCTTCTCGACACCCAGAGCCATCTCAATCTAGAATCCAGAGAGTTCTATTGACGTTACGAGATACATTTCAGACCACCTTCAACTCTCTTGGACTTTGCCGACTCTACCCTCGTCGCCCATCCTTCGAGCCAGATAAATTTGTCGCGTCCTCGCTACTTTCAACTACGTGCCCAACGTCTGTGCAAGAGACTGATTCAGGCATTCTCCCACCTCCGTATCCTTTCCCTAATATGTCCGTCTATCGACTCATGGCTTGGATGAATTCCGGCAGCAACAAGAAATCGGAGACTGAAGTTGCTCGTCTTGTCAAAGAGGTGATGCTGGCGGAAGATTTTGATCCAAAGCACTTGGAGGACTTCTCAGTGAGGAGCAGTTTGCGAGAGTTAGATCATGACCCTGGCAAAAGCAAAATTGAGTTTCCAGATGACTGGATCCAGGCCAGCGTCACCATCAAGATCCCTACAAAATCGAAGGAGGACGATGCGAGATCTTTTTCCGTTCCTGGATTTCATTTTCGCCCCCTCATTGAAGTCATTCGGTCAGCTTTCACGGACATCCAAGCAAGTGCATTTCACCTGTCGCCTTTTAGACGTCTGTGGAAGGATCCATTGGACAACCATCAAGAGTGAGTGTTTGACGAGCTGTATACTTCTGACTCTTGGCTGGATGCCCAAGACGACCTGCAAAAGCTCCCGAGGGAGCCTGGATGTAAACTGGAACGCGTGATCGCTGGTCTCATGTTTTTTTCGGACGCCACGCATCTGGCAAGCTTTGGAACGGCAAAGGCATGGCCCCTGTATATGTACTTCGGAAATCTGACAAAGTACGCTCGCTCGGCGCCAAAGTCCGGCGCCTGTCACCTTGTGGGATTTTTACCATCGGTGAGTTCTCCCCCTATATTTGTAATGATCTCTCAAACGACTGTTCATCAGCTGCCCGATAAAGTCAAAGATGTGCTCAGTGCCTTGCCTCGCATGTCCAAAAGTGGCATGGCTGCCCTTCAAACACACTGTCGACGTGAATTATTTCACGAGTGCTGGGACATTTTACTAGACCAAGATTTTGTTCACGCATACCGCCACGGTATTGTGTTGAGATGTGCTGATGGTGTGTTGCGGAGAATATTTCCGCGTATATTCATGTACTCAGCTGATTACCCTGAAAAGTGCGTTTTGTCAGTAAAACTTGGCAGATTACTCAACGACTTTTAGGGTTTTAATTGCCACCATCAAGGACATGGGCTCATGCCCGTGTCCCCGTTGTCTTACACCAAAAAACATGTTTCCTTCTCTAGGCCTCCTGAAAGACATGAAGAGCCGTGTCACCAATATTCGAATCTACGTCTTGGCTAAGATTATCAAGGCACGGGAATATATCTACAACGGGGGTAACACCGTGGATGGTGTGAAGGTTGATGAGACGCTGAGAGAAGGTTCATGGGTGCCTATTCTGGTAAGCGCAAATTGTCTGTTGCCCTCGCGTACCTGCTCAAAGTGACTTGCAGAATACATTTGTCGAGAAGCTGGGAGCACTGGGTCTTGACCCATTTCGTATGCTGGTAGTGGACTTTATGCATGAGTGTGAGTTGGGCACCTGGAAGGCATTATTCAAGCACCTCAGTTCGGATCCTTTATGCGCTTCCAGGGGGAAACCAGCTGGTTGCAACATTAGATGCAAGGTAGGCAGAGTTTATGTAGTACTAGTAACCGCGACAAGTCACTAAGTCTATCTCATTATAGATTTCGTCTGGTTCCTACTTTCGGTGACGGGGTAATTCGAATGTTCGCAAACAACACGTCTGAGATGAAGAGGCTCGCGGCGCGAGACTTCGAAGATATCCTACAGGTTTCTTCTCGCTTTATTTGACTCCTATACCCAGTTTGCTGACGGCCTCTTATCAGTGTGCGATACCTGTCTTTGAAGGGCTATTTCCCGCTAGCCACGATAAGATCATACAGTCTCTTTTATATAGGTTCGCTCAGTGGCATGCACTCGCCAAGTTAAGAATTCATTCAGATTCAACACTGAGTTTCCTCGAGGAAACATTCAAAAAACTCTCTAAGCAGTTGCGAAACTTCTGCGACTTAACCTGCGCTGTTTTCAATACAGTAGAATTACCAAAAGAAAGGGCAGCTCGCCAACAAAAATTGGTGCAGGGTGTTGGACCTAATGGCAGTTGCTTCGGAACCAAGCGTACCGAGGGTGAAAAGGTTCAATTTGAGCACCTACAAGTTTCACGCCATGGGTGATTATGTACGAACCATCAAGCTCTTTGGTACGACAGATTCTTTCACCACTCAAATTGTAAGCATCGTCTCTTATCTCAAGGATGGTTCTGAAGTTATATTCACCAGGGGGAGCTGGCGCACAGAGCCTTGAAAGCATTTTATCCACTTACTAGCAAGGTGGACACTCCTGCACAGCTAGCGAAGCACGAACGGAGGTGGCGTGTACTTCGGCGAGTCGCAGAAGCAGCAGGTGTTCCCTCCTCAAATATCCAATCACCAGCTGATTCTCCTGCTCCATCGATATCCAAAGATCATCATTTTATTGCGATCAGTCGAAACGTGCCGGTCCCTTTGTTCGCATTTCTCCGGGAACATGATGGCGATACTGCTACTAAGGTAAAGCTAATACTTTCGCCCAGTTGACTGCCGGTTCGCTCATGATGGCTTTCAGAACTTCATCCCGAAACTGAAGGACCACATTTTATATAGGTTGAAGAAGCTGGACGTTGGTCGTTGTGACCATATATTCACAGATGAGGAGCGTAACCTGGTCATAATTCCTAATAATACAATCTACTCTGTCCAGACGATGCAGGTACACTATACGACTTACGATATGAGGCGCGGATACGACACTATCAACCCCAGAACACACGCTGACGTTATGGTGCTTTCAGGAGAAACCTCACCTTCCCACCCATACTGGTACGCTCGCGTACTGGGTATTTATCACATGGACATGTGGCTCGAAGGTGATGGTTCAGCCCGTGAACAGCACCTCGAGGTCTTGCACGTCAGGTGGCTCGCGCCATTAATATCGTCAGGCTATCAGTCAGGCATACAGTGCGCTCGCCTTCCCAAGCTGGCATTTGTGGAGGAGTCAGATTATGACGCATTCGGATTTCTTGATCCCGGGCAAGTGATTCGAGGAGCCCATTTGATCCCTGCGTTCGCTTCTGAGCGCGGTGTGACTTCACTTCGCCATGGAAAATCATTAGGACGTGCCCAGGACGAATTGGATGACTGGGAAGCATTTTATGTCGGCATGTAAGTGCAGCATGTCTTCTTGTGAATTGGTGACTCTGATATCTTAGAGCTAGCTTTGCTGATCGTGACATGTTCTTGCGTTATACGCATTTAGGTGTAGGCCACCCAGTGGCTTTGCGGAGGGTCGTCAGAGGCTGTCTTGGCCTCCGGTCAACAACAACAGTGAACTCAGGAGGTATGGATGTTGATCAAGGCCGAGACAATGGTGAGTGCCGCGAAGAAGACAATGATGACTCGGATGATGAACAGATGGATGTCGACCAAGTTGGTGAGGAGGTTTCAGACGACGAAAGTGATGAAGAGGAACTTGACTCGGGAGATGACCAAGATCTTGGCGATGGGTTTGATGCGGAGATGCTCGAGGAAATCTCTAATGACCTCTCTTTTTAAAATCATACTAACGGTCATGATAGGTACTCCGTTTTAGTTCAACCAGCTTTCAAGTGTAGGTTGACATAATATACATGTTTTTAGCTGGTGCGACCTTACTCATAGGTATGGCGCCTCGCCGTCCTACACATTTCATCTCAGGACTGAGCGGTCATACAAATTTCTAGGCGTGAAAGACTGACCGACGTAGAGTCAAGGACCTGAGATCCTCTGAGATCATCCTCCTTCCTTCAACTTTCCAGTTGATTGGTACGGTATTCGAGTATATAGAGCCCGACCGAATTAAATCTTCGATTCATTCTTCCTTGCGTTTCCTGACAGAGTTCCTTGGCTCCCACCCAATGCTTAGCGCCTGAAGTCAACATAGCAGCAAACATTGCCTCTCGGAGGCCAGCGCCCACCCTTCCTCCAACTACTTCTTGTCTTATACTACTTTGATCAGCCATTCACCATGAACAACCCAATTCAATTGGGGAACCCCGAGTCGAGGTCAGTTCCTCCTCCAGACATCGAGACACGCAACGAAACAAATACTGCTGAGCCCCGGGTAAGTGGTTCACGTTCATGAAGTTGGAACTCAATAACGACCCATCCTTTCTCCAGGGCCGACCCCGTGGCAAAATTTGTCGCTTGCTGGGCAAGGTTAAGAATGGTGTCGTCAAAAAGACATCTGTAAGTCAAAATCAATACTCAGTCCGGGGATAAGGCTGATATCTTACACAAGCGCTCAAAGTTCAACGATTCACGCACCCGCGACCCCGTTCAGGTAGGCGACGTTCCAATATATCCATCAGGCGGCGTGCTCTCGAATTGTCATATGTGCTCATCAATGAGCAGAACGTGCGGATACTCATTCGCGAGCTGCTTGCCTTCCTTGAGGTTGTGGACGACGAGTTCAAGCTTGGCATGACAACACAGATATCACTCGCTGCAGAGCGATTCGCTCCAAACAAACGGTGGCACATCGACACTGTACTTAGGGTGCTCAAATTGGTGGGTGGATTCTCAACGTCAAAGGTATCTATTCACTCACGTTCATATTAGGCCAGAAACTTTGTCCGCGAGGAGATCCTGTTTGCTTCTATCCGTCTTGTCGCTCATACCCCAGAGCTTCAAGCATACACATCGTCCAAGCTCTATACCGCCCTCCAGGATAACATCTCACAAGAGTCACTAACATTGGCTGCTTTGTGGGTAATCGGTGAATATGGTGATGTGCTCTTCGATGGCGGCGTCGTGGACGAGGATCAGCCCAAGCAGGTCAGTTTGACGGCGTTCTGACATTTTCCCAGTCAGTGGAAATAAGCCCGTTGGGTCCACGCAAAGTGGGAAGGATGCCGATCTTCTTGGCGATGAGTGGCACCGCCGACGCCTGTCGTCAATGGCCAGGCAACGCACAACAATAACGACCTCCTTAGATTGCAGGAGAGAGTTGGAATCATCCTTCTTGCTGCGTTGGATGGCGAGAAGGACGAACGAGGTAAGGAGGGCGGTCTTTTCGAGCCTCTTAGTAGTGGCTTCGATTAGCGAGAAAATTTTTGTTAATGCAGCGTAGGGCACTCTACCAAGTCACTGTGTAAGTAAAATGTCAGAGATCGCGATACGACCGTGACGTACGGGTCTCCAATTTTCCGCCCGGGATGGCCAGGACACTTACGAAAGTGAGTCCGATTACTAATACTAGGCTGCTTTCAGACGAGTGATTGACGTAGACGCTAGGCTGCTTTCAGACGAGTGACTGACCTAGACGCTAGGCTGCTTTCAGACGAGTGACTGACCTAGACGCTAGGCTGCTTTCAGACGAGTGATTGACCTAGACGCTAGGCTGCTTTCAGGTGAGTGAGTTAATGACGTAGACCGCGAGCATATAAGACGAGTTCGAATTTCATAGGCTCTTTCACCCTCACATTCACCTTTCGCCCTCTTTGCACTTCCTCTCACAATCTTTCTTCCAGGTTTATTTGATATGTCGGAATCTACGCACGCGCTGGGCAGCCACCAGCCTCCAGACGTCTCCTTGCGCGTCCCGACTTCGCCTGGTGCTAGGGCGAAGCGACAAATTGCCTCCCTTATGTCGGAGGTTGAAATGTTGAAGCAGGACAAGGCGACGAAGAAAAGGTGTGCACGTTTCGACCTTAGCTTGTAAAATTGGAACTAACTTATGCCTCATTGTAGGAACATAACTTATTACGTCTCGCAGGGATGGGCAATCCGTCGTATGGTTGACCTTTATACTCCCATAGAGGATCTTATTGCCGAAAACGACCGGCGTTGTGAAGAAGAAAACGACAGAGACACCACTCCGGAGTAAGTAGATTTATGCAAGTTGCTGCGCTTGTTTACCAAAGTGAACAGACAAGACCGCCTTCAACGTGGCTATATCGAACTCGCTAAGGCACTATCTTGGGTTCACGAGAAGCTGGCAGGTTTCGATCATGAAGAAACAGAAGACATGCTAAGAAAGGTTCTTCAAAACATTTTGTTACACGTCTTGCTCATTTCACTCATTTAAATGTAGCTCAAGCGAGGTGCGGACTCAGCTCGTGGCGATGACACAGGAACTCTCAAAGACCTCGTTGCATCGTGGGTGAATATGGAGTGTTGTCCGACTCCGCTCATCAGGACCGATGACAAGCACCACCGAGGTTTTACGAGTGATGCTTGCGGTAAACTGCTCTGCCCAGCAGAATGGCGCTGGGAGGACCCAATGTATGTGGTGATCCAAGTCCGTCACTTACATGATGTTGATATTTCCTCTAGCGTTAAGGCTGGCATTCGTGACCGTACGACCGCTTATATCGTTTCCGAGAATTCATGGCCGTCATTCGTGTATGAAAATTATGAAGCTGACACCGAGAATTTAGAACGCGGTCTTTTCAAGTCGAGGCTGCTGGTTATGGTGAGCGGTCTTAATGTTTTTGCCCTGGAAAACTGATTCATAGCTCATCGTATCGCAGGGATTAAAGGCCATCTTTACATCTCCCTCATCCGCCAATGAAGTGGATGGTGAGGGTGAGGGTGCCGACATTATCGAGAACAACCGGCGCGCGCGAAGACGATCTGATCAGGCTAAAGTGAAGACTTGTGTTGCCTCTATCATAGGTATGAGAAAGGTAACTCCCCGCGCAATCGCCTATGCAACTTGCCAAGTAAGCATCAACACAAATTCCCGCCTATCTCTATTAGTTGTGAAGCTGAATGAATTCTGCAGATTCACTTTGCACTTTCCAACCTCACCTCCTGGCGCACAGTGGACGGAGACTTCGACTATCATATTTTCTGGAACAATATCGTAGATTTCTTTGAAGACGCCCCGGGTCCAGCTGCGCGAGCCCGGGTGAACAAACTTCTCGAGTGGTGGACCAGGTAAGTCATCGATGTCATCAATTGAGTCACTCTGATCACTAACTTCTTGCACAGAAAAGTTTTCGGACGAAACCATCGGCAGGACTTGACGCCGGACGTTATATCTCTCATGTCCGTCAATACTCTCGCTACCCAGAGACAGCAGATGGAGGACGCCGAATTAGATTCTGACTGATAGTTGTTCGATAATGTTGTCTGCTTGTGTCACTCTCTCACTCTCTACTACATAGCCTTTTCTTTAATCCTTTTGCCTGGCGCTTCAGTCCAGTTCCCTATCATCTCCCTACTACTTGTTAGGATTTCGTTGTAATCATGTTAATGAATGAATGTGACCTCTCAACGTTGACGAATTGGCCACCTTGTTGTTCAATACGACTGAATACTACATATGTGTAACAAGGTATAACACTACGTATGATTGGCAATTTTGGCAATTCCATTTACTTTGCTGGTGACTGTTATGTTACAGGAAATGCACACTAATGCTTCTCGGCTCACCCAAGGCCTTCTTTGATTGTTTTGTATACGTGTGATGAGAATTACAAGTGAACGGGTCTGTGGTGATAGAGCAAAATGGTTGTGTTTTTCGGTTGCACGTTAACTGGCTGTTATAATTATGACCAATCTCCAGCACACCGCTCAAGCTCTAGTACTCAAACACCTCTGCTTGTTTTTGATAGGCTTGATTCAAGAAACAAACCACAACCTTCGGGATCTCTACGTTTTTCAATGTCGCGCCGATAACTCGTCACAAACACTCAACGGTGCCAAACAAAAACTTTGGTGCCAAAATTCCGAGCAGGACACAACACTCGTTGAATGGCGAGTAGGTACCAAGACGAAGCTTTGACTCACTGATATGAACTCTTGAGCCAAGGTACTACATCACAAAGGCACAGCGTCCGCACGACGCTACCACCTATTTTGGACGCGTCGCAAGTAAATACAACCGTCGCGGTATGGGATATTCACAGAAGCTCACACAACCTTCGGGATCTCTACGTTTTTTCAATTTCGCGCCGATAACTCGTCACAAACACTCAACGGTGCCAAACAAAAACTTTGGTGCCAAAATTCCGAGCAGGACATAACACTCGTTGAATGGTGAGTAGGTACCAAGACGAAGCTTTGACTCACTGATATGAACTCTTGAGCCAAGGTACTACATCACAAAGGCACAGCGTCCGCACGACGCTACCACCTATTTTGGACGCGTCGCAAGTAAATACAACCGTCGCGGTATGGGATATTCACAGAAGCTCACATAAAGATTTGAAGCAATGTATGAATTGGTGCTCGCGTGCTTTGAGGCACCCATGAGGTAGCTGAGTAGTCTACAGGATCTTCAGAAGTTCTGGGCTAGGGGGGTCAGAAGGGTTTAGATTGTGAAAATGGTAATGATTGAATCATTTACAATTATATTGTTACGATCGTGAACTGTTTCAACTCGGATAAAATTGTATACTCTAGATTTTAACCGAAGAAATTATCTATGAGAGACAAGTGCAGCATCAGGGTGAAGCATCACTCGCCGCTATAAAGTCTCGAGCGAAGTCCAACATCAAAAAGCGTCCCGCAAAGTAGGACAAACGCAAAAGCAATTGAGCAGTGACGAAACACCTAAGGAGCTCGTTGATTGGCAAGTGAGACATCAAAGTTAAGCATCACCCACCGCTATGAACTCAAGGTGTTTGAGTAGTCCACAAGATCTTTCAGATGCTTCGGCTAGAAAGGCTAGAAGCATTCAAATAGCAAAGATGACAATAATTGTGTGAGATTACAATTTAGCACTGCCACGGCGCATGCTTGCAGCGTTACACCGAGGTTCGAATGATCGCCAAACGCGGTCACAACCGCAAATTCTGTGCACTCCATCAAAAATGTACGCTTTTGATTTTGTCCCAAGGGATGATCTGATGCAGTATTGTGTTCCAGTAAGTTTCCATTGCACAATAATATTGCTTTTCAGTGTCAGACTGGGAAATCTATGCATTGAGAAATCGTGTGTACTCTCACATACCTCGGAACTGTATTCGCGCTCCGTATAATGCATGGTTCTGTGCAACAGTTTACCAACAAACATTTTGCGTGCGCGACTCCGGTCCTTCTATGTCATTGCAACTCGGCGTCCATCGAGCAGTGATACCTACTTGAACACAACTCAGAACATTGTCGCTATTCTATGCAATATACCACTCAACGCGACACTCGTCGAACATTCGATCAATACAGACAAACTATTCGTTGAGAATTAATGTCTACTGTTACTCACACTTTTTACCAGAGCAAGTTACTCGCTCATTCGGTAGTCATCCGCAGCGAGAAAAAATACATTGTGCAAAGACCAAATGACACCGTTCTCTTCACTGATGAGCATCGCCCGAGTGTCTCGTAGTTCTGCATGCTGCAACCTCCTTCCTTGTCCTTCTCAAACCAGGCTCATATTCCAATGCATGAACCTGTGCGAGTACATTGTCTCCTAGACCCGTGCCAGTGAAAAAGTCCTCGAGGCAAATAGGGCTGCCAGGCCCGTGTACTTGCAAATTAGTCTTTCCTCGACAATGCCAAACATTCCCATGTGAAAGCGGGTGGCAAATTTACGCTGATTGTTGCGATGCTTAACAATATATTACTTTAAATATCATTCTCATTTGTTCACAGGTTCTCTGATGAAGTTAGGACTTAACGAAAACTTAGCAAAACTTCACGTGGTCTCCGATATCTCCAAAAAGGATTATCCGTCACGTTACCTTGGGAATCCGCTCAGTATCCGAATTCAAACCCAGTTTTACCAGTCCCTCTATCGACGGCTTGCCTCATAGAGGGGCTGGTCACCAGTCTACCCATGATGCACTTGCAAATGTTTTGTTGTCCGGTGCAAATACGATGCCCTGAACCATATTCTCATGGCCCTTAAACGAGACGGGCACCCTTTTGAGCTCTCTCTTGTTTGTCACAACTTCCCAGACCAGGATGCTTCCATTCTCTCCTCCATTCGCTATCCAACGTCCATCAGGGGACGCCGAGACCGCCCAGACAATGTCATCGTGTCCCAACAAGGGCTCTCCTACTTGTTTCCCCGTGTCCAGATCCCACACCCGAAGACTCTTGTCGGCCGAGCCAGTGACGAGGAGACGGGTACCGACGATGAAAGCTACTTCGTACACACGCGCCTCATGGCCCTTGAGTGTCAGTTCAACAGGCTGTGCGGGCGCTTTTGTGGATACTTTGTGGGTGGTGACCGCCATTCAATCTTGTTCCATATCTCGGTCAGCAGGCATATTGAGGGAGTAGCAATGACTTACATGCGCTATGGTGAGTAGTAGTCATTAAGTTGCATCTTCTGTAAGATACTGACTATCCCTGAACCCTGATGTCAGCTCTGCTGTACATAGACACGTGGTGTCCTGCATACGGACCATCTTCAGCGCTTCTTCCAGAAGTTTTCTTCAGTAGGCGCCGTGGCCGCTTTTACTGTATTCTGATACAATTTCCCGGCCACATCCGAGTCAGTCGACACGGGATATCTTCTCTCATTCATCTTGTACTGAAAAGTGATAATATGCATGCAACGAATCAATCGCTTGATACTGGTTGGCTGTGGTGATAGCACCTGCAAGGCAGGCTGAGGGAGAATGAGGTTCTCGTTCCTGCCAGCATCATCGGGTCTTGAAAATGACAACTTGGCTGCATTGCACACTCTCCTGGCCACTGCAGCACCGCAAGGCAATCAATTCCCCGATCACAAGTTTGGCCGCCATGCAGACACGGAGCGAGAAATGCTGACTGACCCATATACGCGCAGGATTAAGCGTATAAACTGCCAACAAAGTGATATCGATATAGCGTGGGCGTCGAAGGACTGTTGCAGTATCTCCAGATGGGCGGTGGATCATGAGTGGAGCGTCCAAACGGAAGCATCCCTTCTGAACAGATAATACCAACTGCAGATCGAAGAAAGTGAAACAAGCTCCTGTGGGTAGGTGCACCAGCGCTTTTCAGCTGATCAGGATTGCGTGGTACATCAACTGGAGTCTATTATCATTAGACTCCCGCTGGGCCAGTCCACTTGAACGTTCAAAATTTTCAAACATCGAAGGACCCAATTGTTGAACTTTCAAATTCTCCTCTTCCCAAGCCGGTATGGCCCTTATTATGTCCATCAAGTATGCTTTTAATCATTGTCCTAGATCAAGAATCGTCATTCTTTCAACGAGCACGCTCCTCCGGGACGTATGTGATGGTGTCATCGAGTTTCGCAATCATCTGTACGATCTGGAGAATGTGATAAAAGCTGGTAACATGAGCTCACCATGTACCCATGTTCTTGCAGCAAAATTGGGGAAGGGGTCCTCCGGGTCAGGCGCGCAGCGCTTTTCATGATATCAAAACTCTTCAAAGGGCCAGTAACATTGACAGTGACGCATGCATGTGTCATTCTCGTACAGGTAGAAATACAGCACAGTGAGTAATCACAACCACCACCAAAGGAGGGCGGTGCTGCAGATAGGGAAAGATCAAGGCAGCGCCCAGCCGGAGCGGGGATGTCACGGTTTTATATTAGAACGATTTATTGCGTTCCAAACAATGTTGTGTTGCATCGGTACCTGTTGTTAGTTTTCTCCCGTACAACACCGATAATACCTCCGAGTCCGAGTCATTCCCCACTTTGTGTAAGTGGTCCGAGGGCTATCTTGCCCGTCTCCCTCTCCAATACGCGTACCATTCTGTCCCATGATGCGCTTGCAAATGCCGTTGCAAATACAACGCTCCAAAAAAAAATCCCATGGCCCTTGAACGAGACGGGCACTCTTTTGAACTATCTTGTTTGCTACAACTTCCCAGACCAGGATGCTTCCATTCGCTCCTCCACTCGCAGTCCAACACTCATCTGAGGATGCTGTGATAGTGCAGACTCCGGTGTCGTGTCCCAACAACTTACAAGGGCTCTCCCACCAATTTCCCGGTGTCCAGATCCCACACTCAAAGACTCTTGTCGGCCGAGCTAGTGACAAGACAAGTACCGAAGATGGAAGCTACGTCGTGAACAAATCCTTCGTGACGCTTGAGCATCAATTTGAGAAGAGGCATTTCCTTACATGTAGGCTGGACGGGCGCTTTGGAGGATACTTCGTGAATGATGACTGCTATTCAATATTCAACCTTGTTCTGTGTCTCGGTCAGCAGGAGCGTTGAAGAAAGAGCAGTCACTTACATGTGATAAGGTGAGTAGGCGCTAAGTTGCATCTCCTACAAGATACTGTCCTGAATCCACATCTTGCTGCAGACATGGTATTCCGCATACAGGTGGCGTTAGCCATATTTTCAGCGCTTCTTTCAGTGGCTTTTTCAATAAGCACCGTGGTCGCTTTCACTGTTTTTCGACTTATCATCAATGTCATGGCTGATGCCAATCTCGGCCACATCTACGTGAGATTTCTTCTGGCATTGATCGTGGGTGTATTGATAGGCGGTCACACTGAATGCAGCAAATCAATGGATTCACAGGTTCTGCAATTTAGACATTTTTATGTGCCTTGCGTTGTATAGGTTGTTTTCAATGTTTGACACGCTTCGAAACAGGGCCAACGCCATTTCTCGATCAAGGACGCGAAAGTTATCTGACAGTTCCCTACTGAAGACTCCGTGTTCGCCGACGATTTCGGGCTTTCTGGATCACAGTCAGTCTTCATTAGCCAGATCGATGGGAGAAAGACAGTCGTCCCATCTATCGATCCCAAAAGATCGGCGTTCGAATGGAATGCAAACTACGTATTCCACGTTTGAAACCCGACATATGTCCATTTTGGACACCCTGGCGTACTACGTCTGCGCCCGTTCCCTGACAGAAAGTTCTAGAGAGGTATTCCAACCACCTATGGCTCAATGGTGGGTGGTGTGCTAAGCCACGACTCGGATCAGCCCATGACTCCGATAAGGTTAAGAAGCAGAGTCTGATGCGCGGATATAATGTGGATGATGCTGAGGGAAGTTGAGTCTGTCTTAGACCTGAAGGATACTTTGTTGACATGGTCCCAGTAGAGTCACCACTACTACGGGAAAGGTTGCACGTCACATGTTGCATTCCCGAGGGGCATTCCGCATTCTTATATCCTCTCAGTACTCTTTGAGGTGATTGCAACAGGCAAGAGATCAGAATAGTGAATTCAGGCTGTCGTCAACTTTGTGAATATCGGCTTTCAGGTTATGCTTTTCACCTCGCTGAATTTTAATCCCGATTGTGTATTTTCGTTGATGAAGCGCTCAGGTTCGCGTCCAGTCGTTCCCCAGGTCGCAGCCAGACGTGCTGGGTTGACCAGTGCATTCGTTTGATATCTGAACACATGACTCTTGGCCCATCATCGCAGATATCCTTCCTCGACTTAAATTTAAACGTTGCAGCTGGTTACGCAGAGCCAAACCTTGGTCAGCTTTATCTCCTTCTCAACTTCAACGTTGCAGCTGGTGATGCAAAGCCAGCCAGCTTTATCTCCTCCTCTTTTCCTGTCAAGTTCCAATTAATGAGGTTCGTATAAGCAACCTTCTACTACGGAGAATGACCCTGGAGGTTGCTTTTTGTTGGTAGGGCGTTAATCTCTGACCCCATTAGCCGCATATGTATTATAGCGCTCGCCGCTACTACATAGCTGAACGAGATTCCCTGCAATGGTCGGGTCTCACGCTAAAAATATTCCAGAGATCAGAAGATCGATAAGCCACAGCTTGTGACGCAAACCAAGAACAGCTGTACAGCATATACAGCCTGTTATCTGGGGCATATAAAAGCCCTCCTTCCTGGACCTCCACCAACCGCAGAACCCGACGTTCTTCAATCCATACTTACTCTCAACTGCATTTTGTGATTGAGAATAACTTTACAACCTATCATGTCGACGGCTCCTGGGACCATCGTTAGGAACTTGACATTTCAGTCGTGAGCGTCTTTGAGCTATAGTACTGTTTCATCCTGACCGTCTTGCAGCGAAAATCTCGGCCGAGAAACGACGATTTTGCTCGTTTTTGATACCGACATGGAGGGCCTCTACGACACAATCTACCCTGTGGTTTGGAAGTAAGCACTCCCGATTTCACTTTTGAGGAATACAAGACTTTCAATGATTTCAGAGCCATTACTTTCCCAGCGAGAGGTGGGTCCCTCGCGCCCAATTCTCACTTCAATTATGAACCTTCATCTTAGGCTCGTACAGCTATGATGTGACCTACACGGACAAGTAAGTATTGTCCGAGAAATGTCCAATATCATGCTCACGAACGTTGCTTTTATTCGACGTATAGCTTCGCTTTTTCCAAAGCAGACATCGGACATGATAACCTCGTTCGAACTTTCCGTCACTTCGAGCTGAAGGTGGGAGACTCACAACTACTCTGCGGTTCCTAGCACAAACACAAGTCATCATTCAGCCAGGCCAAAAAACCACACTGTCCCTGAAAGATAACAATAAAACACGTTTCTCTGTATGAATAGCGTTCATCTGCCTTCATCTATGCAGTTTACTAATAACCTGCGTAGCCACCTGTGAATGATATCAAAGATTACCTGACGGCAGAGAACGAGACTGGGTTTCTTCAGGACCTTGCAGTCGGTTTGTGACCCCTTTTCTTTTCTTTTTCTCACCTCATTGGAACCATCAGGCTTTTATAACCCATCAAAAGCCATCATGGCTAAACCTGATCCGTTGCTCTTCTTCAAAGAAGATGGGTATGTCAACTCCCCTTCATTCTCCCTCCAGGAAACTCACAGTTCATACTGCAGAGAATGGAAACAATTGTGTAACCCATCAAAAGCCAGCATGACTGGGCCTGATCCGATGCTCTTCTTCAAAGAAGTTGAGTATGTCAACTCCCCTTCATTCTCCCTCCAGGAAACTCACAGTTCATACTGCAGAGACGGAGGCAAGGCCACTGCTCAATGGAAACCGGTCCTGCGCATCTATGTCGAATCGGACTATCAAGAGACCGAGGTCTTGGTCAATGCCATTAAAGGCACTGCCATCTTGGAGCAAGATCTTCGCCGACTTTTTCGGAACACGGTCTTCAACCTCAAACGGAACACGCTGACTAGACGATTCAAACTCACGAAGACTAACCCGTAAGTAGGTCGTACTGCCGCTGGCATATAACCGTTACACCAAAAGGTAATATACTGAAAGCTTACTACCTTCCAGTAGTCCCGACGACTCGGAGTCTAGGACACAGTGCGCAAACCAATGAAGGAATGCCAAATTGGTGTGCATGGTGACTGTTGTCAATGCCTTGTTCTCTCTGTTTTCGCCGCTGCCCCGTTCAGAGTTCCAGTTGCTTGTCTTGTATAACCTTCCATCTCGTGTAGTCACCGTTGTACCATATTGGGTCGACTGATCATCAAAACGACTGTCTTGATCCCGCTCACCGTAGGATGAGTAGCGACTTGAAGCAAAGACTACTTCAAGTCGCAGCTCATCTTATCGTGATAGAGGCCCTGACAGAGTTTGAGCGACCTGACATAATTGGGATGGAATACAAGGGTATGAGTATTACACCAAGTGCTAGCGGATATAAGTATGCTAAGCCAACGCTATAACCGTCCCATTCATTTCGTCGACAGAAACGACACTTAATTATGATAAGTTACAGTGAACCGATGACGATAAAAAAGAAACTGCAATACAAAGAATGCACTATTAAATTCATAAATCTCATGCTAAACCATTCACATCTTCATCGACGTCCCCCTCTTCGCTACCGAAGTCGCCCCCTCACTCAACCGCTGGGGATGCGATGAAGGAGGCGCAGAGTGCGATACGTGATCTAGTTGCTGATCTTCGTCTAACGATACCTGGCGAGCTTGCGTGAAAAAGACTTTCGCATCTCGATCGGAGATGTTCTCGATGAAGTAGGTGTTGCCTGAATGTGGATGCGGTTTATATTATTTATGAGACCAGCGTACGGGGCATGAGGAATGGGACTGACCACGCGGCACAATGAACATGCCCCCTGTAGCTACAACATATTGTGATTCGTGAATCACAGCGGCTACGGCACCTTCAATGACGTAGAAAACCTGCGTAAAAATGAGGTGAATAGATTGAAATGCGCAGTGTAGCGACGAATGCGAACATAAGTATTATCTTTTGTGCCTTTGCTTGGTTTGCGGCCCTGCGGGGGTATACGAAGGACGCCTGCTGCAATAAAGTCGCCCTCCCCAAAGACCTTTTGAAAGAACCACCCGCCGCCAGCTGCAGGTCTCGGATCGACCTTTTTTGCTGTATAGACAATACCTAAAACAACGATAGTCAATATAAGACCATAAAGTGCCAATGGGAGAAGCTACGTACGTCTTAACACAGGCTCCTCGGTGACATAGTCAATGACCACACCGGATTCCTGTGTTTCGTCGTCCCAGCCTTCCTCGGGGTCAAATGGCTCAGGTATACTCTTCGCACGTTCACTGCCTGTGCGCTTGCGCTTCTTTCCTGCCTTCCCGAGTGGTTTAGGAGGCTCTTGCGGGATGCGTATGATTTCTTTAATTTGAGGAACGAGAATTAGGCCAGAAGTATCACCACCATAGACGACTTTTTCTTGGCGCCAGTATTCGAGCGGCTTGTAGCGATGTCGTCGACTACGACGTACCCCATCAGGTGGTGGAGAATCTAAGGTGGATGAATTTCTTGCTCATGGTGTAAGAGATGACTTACTTTCTTCGACTGATTTGATGACTCGTTTGGGTGCACGCGCTGCTTTTGGTTTCTTCGGTTGCTGCTCTTTCGGTTTTTCTTTGCGTGGCTTCTTAGGGGGTGGGTCTTCATCTTCTTCATCCTCATCTGGCGCATTCTCAACTTCTTCGAGTCCCTGGGAAATATCCTCATCGATCTCGTTTTCCTCCTGTTGCTCCAGCTCTACATCTGCGCGCCCCTTGCCCTTGCCCTTGTCAGCCTTCTTCTTCGCCTGTGACGCCATCTGTTTTTCGACTTCTGCAGCGTCATCCTCATCATCCTCGTCCGCATTCACATAATTAAAACTCGTTCCTGTTTGCGGTGGGCTGTCGTTCGGTAGGGGATCATAGTCAAAGTCTTGATTTGCTGGCTCGAACTCGGGGTCCGAAGCAGGGCCAGGCTCACGAGGGTCGTTGTATACGGTGAACGACTTTGAGAGTACTGAAGGTCCTGCACTATTCACAGTCGATTCACGCCTGGACGGTGCAGTGCGCATACGGGGCGAAGGTACCTCGTCAAAGTCAATCTCAGACGTTCGCGGAACGGACCGCGACGAGCCCGGTTTGCGCGCACTGTTAGGCGCCATTATGGGAGGCGCATTGGTAAGGTAAGCCAGCGGACTGCCCTGGTTGCCTGTGTAAAATCATGGTGATAAACACGTCGGATCGTACTTGCGGTCAAAGTCACTCACTTTCTGCCAACTCCATGGACATCTCCCCATCCTCATCGTATTCGTCGACTTCTGGAACGGGAGTAGCGACGACTGGCGCCTTCTTCTTGCGTGATTTAACTCGGGGCGGTGTGCGATCGTCAGCTTGCTTGATGACCTCGTCGAATGGCTCGAATTCATCAGAGTCACGGCCGACGTATTGGACTGCAATTCCGGTTTTCTTTCCGAGGCCAAGATCGTCGGCGCGGAATGGAATATGTTTCTTTGGGGGGCCGCGCCGACTACCTATACTTGATTTTCTGCGGTCTGTAGATTCGCGTGGCATCGTTGGTGACGGCGAGCACCTAAACTGGAGGAGTAAGTGCCGTGGGAACTTAAACAAGACACGCTTGTCGCGGTTAATGGGTCACGGCATGTCACGCGCACACCACGCGTTTGTGTCACTTCGCGAGCCACAAAAGGCGTGGCACAAGGTCGATTCAAAGAGTGTCAATGTTATGATAAAAAACTACTATGATTTCTCTAAATCCCCGTTCCCGTTCGTATCAGGACTCTTCTTTCTAAGGATCTCCTGCAAAAAGTCCAGTGTCGTCTCACTAGGATTGCGCGGCGGTGGTTGCGTCGACTTGCGCACGATATTATCGAACCTCGCTGCGCGCTTAGGGTGTGGGGTGTGATTGGCGAAAGACTGCAGAGGTTCAGCCGTGATATACTCCAGTGAGCCAGGCCTATGGGTGTTGCTTTGCGAGTGACTCTGCGCGTCATTTGCAAATGCTGTCATCGAGAGCTTCGCCGCTTTTAACCCTTGCCTCTTGTATACCACTTCTGGCGCCTTCTCCAACACTACAGACTCAGGCCTGAGGTTCGTCACACCGGTTTTACTTGGATCGCCCCACGTCATCACGTTGCCCACTCCTTTGTTCTTCTGCTGTATGAGGGTGCCCATACCAGCGTATGATGCCACGAAATATATGGGCTTTCCTTTGTCGCCCTTTACCTCTTCAACCAATCGTCCTTTATGCTCCTTCGTAGAGAGATATGTTTGAAGTGATGAGAAATGAGAGTAATGGAGACCTGCAGAGCGATGTGGTACGCTTTCGAGTGAACGTGATCGAGGATGCTCTCGTACCCCTTCAGACTCCCACATAGCGAAGTCATCAAGGGAATAATCCGTTGGAAGTTTTTCGGGAGGGGCTTTTTTCGCCTTCGACAATCCTTTGGGTGTAGACGATTCCTTGGACGAGTCTGTCTTCATCAGCTTTAACGCCTCTTCCTCCCTCTCTTTCATCTCCTTCTGCTTCTTTAATGCTTCCGCCTTCATTTTCTGATATTCAAAGAAGTGCTCGCGTTTGCGACGGATATGCGCAACATATTTCTTGAATTCCGAGTTGGACATGGCATGGACATTGGGGACAGCAGGCGAGCGCCAACATTGTGGATCCATCCGCATTGGCGCATACTCCGAGTCTACCATATCACCAGAATCCTCGCTCGACGGCCGACGCAACTCTTCCGACCTGGGGTTTAATTGCAACTCATCCCAGTTCTTCATCCACATTGCCTGAGGCTCTGCAGAGTTCCATTCTGTCTGCTGTTCAAGTGAGTCGACAGCCTTCACTGTGATGTAAGCTCCACGTCTGCGTATCGGAAGCGGACGTTTGAAGCCCCAGTTGCCGCGGTGAGCATCACCACCGTGTGTGGTGTAGACTTGAGCGATGCGGGGGTCAAAGGAGGAGAATTTTGACCGTTTGAGAAGAGTAGCGAAAGGAGATTGTACAACGGAAGCCATGCCTAGACGTCCTCGTCAAGCAACAAGTCCAATTTTCTGTGATGCCCGACACCTTGCCAAATTGGGACGACTTTGTAAGTCCGCTCGGTATTCGCCGTGCTATTCAAAATCTTCCTTGTTCGCCCTACATTTTTTTCAACAAAACCACGACGTCCAAATTACTGTTTATCCTCTGCTTTACGCAACTTTCAAGGATGGATAGTCCAGACAAACGTCGAGGATTAAACTGTTGTCTCAAAAACAATCTTTGCTGAATGTTCCTCCCACTGGTCGAGGGATGAGGACGCAGGATCACCTGGAGATGCCTACACCTCTTTTTGTACTGATGTTTGTAGATGGGTACCGTGCAATTATAATATTGTAAGTCGTGCATATTCTTATCGTTTGAGCTGTGATGGGTACCGATGCATGCCGAAGAAGATCATCCTGGTAAAAACACACAACCCGCTCGAATGGGTCCCTTGAAGTGCGAGGGTGTCTGATGCGGTTTTTGTCAAAGAACCGCACAGACAGATGGGTGTGGATGGAGAAATAAAGGCGAGGCTGAGGTATCGCATTGGTACCCATCCTGTGACTCGATCAGGAGCTGTGATGATGGGCTGATGACAGTTTCACAGATTGCATAGCTTGATAGGTTACATTCAGCGCCATGAGCTGGTAGTCTGTAGTTCCCATGATCATGTCAAAATGTTGTTCCGTATGTAGCCTAGAATGAGTTTAGAATCATGTATTATGAAGTTGATCATAGAACCATTTTGTTGATCAAGTGACTTATTATATAGCCGATGTTGGTGAATGTCGTGATTTTTTACGGATACACCTTTTTTGTGTGTGCGCCTCCATCATCCTCAAAGTTTTTCCTACACTGCCCCAGTGCTTAAGAGCACTGACTTTGTTGAAGACTAATACGTCCTTGCTCTCTTGGCGACTTGGTTTTAATTCGGTGGTCACAGATTTTGACTCTCTATTTAACTGCCACGGTCGAATCGGACGAGGTACTGCTTTTCATAGACGATTTCTGTTGCAATCCTTTCTCATCCCTTTCACGTCAGCAAGCTACAGCCTTTTATCATATTTCTTGTCGGTCTCCGTTGAATTATACGTGGAAGGAAGCACACTGAACGATATCCGAACCAGCCAACCAATCGCGTTCGTTGAAAAAACGGAACACGCACGAGTAGTCAGTGAAGTCATCCGTAGCGCCCTTTCATTCTTTACTAAACCTTGGTCCGCAGTGCCTTCATCTTCTCATGAAATGTATCATCGTGCATACCCTTCCATTCGTTCTGTGCCTTCATCTTCCAACCTCTCTGGTACCACAAACACCAGCCCACGCCTAGCCCCATTGCTCCCTCCCTCAGGCCTTCACGGTCTCTCACCCAAATCAACTGGGTTACTTCTCAACCAGCATCTGAACGCAGCTCTACCAGAAACAGCTCCGAAACATCCAACAATCTGCGGAATGCCTCTGAAATACGTATCGTGAGTTCAATCAAGTGTTCGGTCTGCAGATGGCTAACTTTCCCATGTATCAGGCTCATCACCCTCGCCGTTCAAAATGCAACCTTATCCATTGTGATGTACTACTCTCGCGTATCCACACCCCCGCACCTGTCATATTCTCCTGCAGCAGCAGTACTACTATGCGAAATACTGAAAGGATCCATATCTTTCGTCATTGCAATATGGAGAGCACAGGACATATCAGAATCTCATTGGTCATCCCGGAAATCTTTCACTGGCTTCGTGCAAGCACTCTTTCCATGGTCTGCACCCTTCCGCCAAGTATGCAGTGAGATTTTTAGCCCCGATTGTTGGAAGCTGTCCATACCAGCTGTCCTTTACGTCGTGCAGAACTCGTTGCAGTTTGTTGCTATCAGTAATCTGCCCGTGGCGTCCTTTCAGGTGGCATATCAGATGAAGATCCTAACTACTGCGGCCTTCTCAGTTATCCTCCTCCGGAAGACGCTATCTTCGACGAAATGGTTATCCTTGTTTTTTTTGGCCATTGGCGTTGGTATTGTCCAGGTGCAGACGACTGCGTCAAATAGTGGAATGCGGGAGATTCGAGTGGGGAGTGCACATGATGCGGCACCTCTACACATCCATATTATGAGCCCACTAAAGGGCTTTGGTGCGGTCACTGCTGCCTGCTTTACATCCGGTCTCGCAGGTGTCTACTTCGAGATGGTACTCAAGAACTCCAAGGCAGACCTGTGGGTGCGCAATGTCCAACTCTCGCTCTTCTCCCTCCTCCCTGCCTTCCTTCCCATCCTCTACGGCCCTGCGCAACCGCCTTCCATGAGTTTCTTGAGTTACCTCTTCCGAAATTTTGGTGGATGGGCGTGGGCCACGGTGGCAGTACAGGTCTTTGGTGGTTTGGTGACCGCTGTCGTGATCAAGTACTCGGACAATATCTTGAAGGGGTTTGCGACGTCACTATCTATCATTATATCCTTCCTCGCCTCCGTCGTGCTCTTCGACTTTCACATCACCCCTTCCTTCATCATCGGGGCTTCTACGGTGCTCGCAGCAACTGCCATGTACAACCAGCCCGCGTCGCCTGAGACAAAGATAACATCTACAATCAGTGGCGGCTCAAAGCCGTTTTCAGACGCCCCTTTAGGCCCCGATGATCCCATAATTGGGCAATTCCCATCACAGAAGAGGTCGTCGCCGTTTGGAAGCCCCCGAGCTATCGCCAGTGCTCTGGGTCTTGCAGAAAAGCCCTCGAGCATTGTTGAGAGCGACTACTTCTCCGACATGGAATCCACCTCGCGATACCTCAACGCACCATACGGTTCTCCCTTTCCGTCACGTACGCCCACACCCAGGCCCGAAGAGCGGCTGTAATTAGCACACCAGGACATAAAAAGAAGATATCAGAACTTTCAACTATTATACGACGTCTTATGATGATTTTTTCTGAATATACCCGTTTCCTAGATCTTTGCAAGTAAGCCCTTTTTATCACAGATATTGCATTGCGCCACTGCACCACGATCTCACGAACAGGCAAATCTGAATCTATTTCATGGTTATCATATCAAATCTTCTCTCTTTCATAGCCAAGTCACATTACAATTCATCTCGCTCATTCCCTGCAATCTTTTCCGGTCGCGCCGCTTCAGAATGTTTCGTGCGTTTTTGCTATTCTGGAGCTCTTAGTGCCGTTCACATCAGATTGCATTTCTACCTTTTTGCTTAGTTTTGCTACCTTTACGCACGAGGACTTGGGGTTGCTGATCATAAACTTTGAACTTTTTTAGTAGAGTATCGACTTTTGCTGACATGTTCTGTTAGCTGTAATTGGGACTGAATTTACGTCTTTTACATCTATTGTTCTGGCTTGCTGAGTTATCAATTGCATAGATGACATCGATAATCAGCAGTGCAGCTCAAGAATCTGCCTACCTCTGGCGCAGCCTTGAATGATTGTCTCCTGGGCCTCCTCCCTTGCTGGGGATGAATGTAAGCTTTCGTTGGACAAATATCAACTCATAGCGACTCAGTGCATGAAGGGCCTTTCCGAGTTTGTCCTTGGGGCTCACTTCCTCCAAGAGCGCCTTCGGGGCACACGATCTTATGGATCATGATTACATTCCCATCTGTGGTATCTCGTGTTGGACGTAGGTATGCGGACGCTTGCTCTTGACAGTTCACCAATCGATATTACGCACCCTGGCAGTCTCAAGGTGCGTATGGAACGCCAACATGTGCACGATGTCTGATTTGGCTGTTGCTCTACAGTATACTCAGCGTAACTTCCCTTGGTGTCGTACAACTTAAGAACGGCAGATAACTACTCTCTGCAGTCAATAACTAACTTCAAGTTAATTGCAGTAATGATGGGCGCGTCGGACGCCAAAGGTAGACACGTTCAACGTGACATGTGTCAGGTTTCACAAGTGAAATCAGGCTTTTTCCAGTGGCATCTGAGCCATATACGGTGATCATGGGACTTCTGCCGCTCACTGGGTCTTCAAAGCTTCAACGTTAACCAAGTGTCGTTTCGTCTCCGAGTCAGTTCTCGCATTTCGAGTGAAGCGATTTGAACGTGGACGCCGTGGCCGTAATTGAAGTTAGTAGCTTACTAATAAAAGCATGATTAAGATTGGTTGTAATTTAGACAATCGACCATGAGCTTAAGGTGGCAAACCTTCAATGACTACCACAAACGAAGTCAAGGTCCCCTTCTTCAAGAAGGGAAAATCTCGACCAGCAACCTCGCGAAAAAGATCGGATTCTCCCCTCCCGTGGATCAGCGCCGATACCGTCTTCATCCAAGTCTGCGGTGGTTCTTCCTTCCCGCAAACCAACTGGCAATTTTCTGAGCGCTGGCACGAAACGTACTGCCGCACAACGAAGGGAGGATGAAATGGACGATCCAGACTTTGTGGAACGTGATGGTCCTGCTGTGAAGTGGACCGCAGCCGGCTCACACACTAACGCAGCACTTGAGATACTAGCTGGTGACGAAGCCGCAGAGCTACTTGCAAAACGTCAGAAGAAAGAGAAAGCAGACAGAGGTGAAGAGGAAGAGGAAATACCTGATGATGGGCTGTATAGGGGCCAGAATGCTTATCGAAGTCACCTGAAAAAAAGTCAGGAAATACCCAAAGCTATGCGTGTTGGTCCTCAGCGAGGTACTAGCACCATTCGCACCGTAACCATTGTCGATTATCAGCCAGATGTTTGCAAAGACTACAAAGGTTCGTAAGTTTTTTCTCCGACGGATACGGATGCTAAAACGGTCGTCCCAATCAGAAACGGGATACTGCGGTTTTGGTGACACTTGCAAATTCTTGCACGACCGTGGCACATGTATGTTTGCATAGCCTCTATGCTTAAAAAAACTAAAGACAGATACTTTGGACAGATCTTGCTGGTTGGCAATTGGATAAACTCGCTGAAACCCCGCGGAAACAAGTTGAGGATGTGTCAGACTCCGATTCTGACAACGAGGACATACCTTTTGCTTGTCTCATCTGCCGCAAACCATATACAGATCCAGTGGTCACGCGGTGCGGGCATTATTATTGTTCGGCCTGCGCAATCAAGCGCTATGCCAAAACTCCAAAGTGCTTAGCATGCGGCGCCCCCACGGGTGGAATATTCAACCGTGCCGACCAAATCATAGACAAATTGAACAAGAAACGCGCAGAAAAAGATGACATTCCTGGGGTCAAAATTGAGGGCTTGGTTGATAACGCAAGCAGAGACAGTGACTCAGGTGATGATGATAATGATTGAGATCCATGTCAATTCATGGATTATTCATACGTGCATCAGCGCGTGCCGCGTTCTTTGTGAACCTACCACCAGAATTGACATTCATATTTTTTCATCCGTCAACGTGGGCCGCTATCACTTGTGGTTCCTTCCTACGTGAATCTTCTGCTAAGCTATTTCGCTAGGTTTCTGATGGAACAGACGTTTCATGACATTGAACTTGTTTTTCAGGTCCCGGAAGCGGATCCGCAATGTCGCGAGACGGTTTCCTGAAAAAAAAACATGTTGTACTATGTCACTCAGCACCGAGCTTTCACCATCGACGGATTCACGCCCGCGTTGTTTCCTGTGCTCTTCACAGTGACCCGCAGGTATCCCTGTCGGCGGTAATACCCCGGTTCCATTGTGTTGATACCCGCATGGAAACCCGTACCTGCACTGCAGGTATGGGTGTGGGTACGACTGCCCACACCCGCGGGTTTACCCATGCAGTTCCTAGGCTAAGCTGCTGCGCGCCCCGCACTTGCTTTCATACTGCCGCGATACCTAGTACTACTAATATCATGCATTGTTGTAGCGCATCGTTTCTCGTCATATCAATCCGTGCATGCTACTGTGCTACATTATATGGTGTGATAAGATTTTATCTGAATGAAAAACTCATGTCGGAGGAGGAGATCGTGATTTCTCTGCCTGTCTCAAGGAGAATATGTATTTTTATGTTGCAGGCCAAGGAAGCAGAAACAGCCTTTGATGGCCTCTTTGCTGAGCCTCCGAGTGCAGAAGTCGAAGCCCTTCAATAGCAATGCCACCCCCGACTCGGAGCGCCTCCAAAAGCCTGACCTCTCAGACGTGCGTGAGTATCTTTTGGCTACTGGGTTGTGCTTATTTCTTTGTTTGTCTTGCAGCAACGATCTCGGCAAGAAAATGACGCTTGAGATCACTTTCGCTACGAAAGGGATGACCTCTACTATGAAACATACTATCCCGTAGTTCGGAATCAAGTACCCTCGCTTTTGGTAAAGCACACTGTGGCTGCGGATGGGAACCTCATTAGTGCTTTAATTTACGTCAGGTTGCAGGTTGCAGACTCCTATCTACTCTGCGATTCACAGCACGGACACGAACCATCATGCAGCTTGAAGGTGACCAAACCACGCTGACTGGGGAGTTTCCTCCTCCATTTCTCTGCAAGTCTTGCCTTCGTTGTGCCTTTATCTCGATCGGCAGCTCACGAACAACTTGCCTAGACCCCTGAGACGGGAGTTGATGGGTCGCGCACAAAACCAGTATATTCAGGACCTTGTCCTTGATGTGACTACCGTTTTATCCTTGTTTTCACATGGTCTAATTAAGAAGATTTGTGGACGTGGTGGACCAATTCGCGCTTGTAACGGCGCTCTTCTTCAGGGACGTTTAGTACCAGCAATAAAGTTAAGACTACGTGGAAACTGATCTTTAGTGCCTGCTACATCACCAAGAGAATGAGATTTTGCTCGGTACCATCGATACCCTGTGACCTGGATTCAGGAGAAGATTTGTGCGCAATTGCACAGAACACAATCTGGAACCTCAAATTTAACGATTCCACCGGAGAGTACACAAAACCAAGATGCCAAACTGAGTTGCCCGATAGCTACCAGTGTTTGAGGTTAGGACCTCGTTATTCTCGGTTTCGTAACATCCTGACTCTGAGTCCCAACAGCCTGATACGGCTGTTTGTCTTGTATCACGTCGTCCGACTCTCGTGTGATAGCTATATCGTGTCGAGTCGTCTGTGTTTTGGATATCACCAGATTGCGTTGGTCTTTCATTGGGCCATCATTTCAACTTCTTGATAATTTGATGGCTATCGCATTGGTGCTCTGCACTGTGCAGTCCACAAATACCTCAGAGAACCGTACGCTGCGACATCTCTCGAGAACAGGCAAAGCCTCTCGGATATAACGTCAGCGTCATTCTAATCGAATGTTGAATGCACATTAACATGCTTTTCTAGCTGGGAAATCAGCACTTGATGATGAATGGCTTGTTGACAAACGAAGTATGGGTCATTGCGGTGATATGTGCATCCACATAGGACTCATTACTTTGATGTTGGATAACCGAAAGTGCGAGTTATCTTTGAGTTTCAGGGGGTATAGGTAGCAAGAAATTGGTGATCAATAACCAAACGGTTTCGAGATCAACTAATGGTGACCTTTGAATTTTGTGTAGAAAGTCGACGTTTACTGGCATGGTCTGGTTGTTCTGTTAGCTATAAATGTGACTGAAAATCCGTCGTTTCATCTGCTTGTTGTTCTTCCTTTCTGAGGTATCGATTGCATGGACGAGAAAAGTAGTGATATTGAGAAAAAGGGGCGGCAAGCTTTCGTTTGAGAGTCCCATCAGCTCGCAACGAGCGCACGAAGGGCTTTTTCGAGCTCGCCCCCGCTTTCCAAGAGCGCCTTCTCGGCATGCGATCTAGGAATGCCTAGTTCATTTACCTGCAAAAGCCCAGTGGATGAGTTATGCACTAGATGTAGACTGTAACACGCACGATGAGATCGACGTCCTCTCGTTTCAGGACAACAACATCCTTGGAGGACTTGGTGGGTTTGAGCGTCATGACTTGCCGCAAGCTCTCTTCGAGCTTAGTTTTGGAGTATTGGTAGCCATCATTGAACTAAAGTTGGGGTGAGCGTGATCATGAGGGTAGTGAAAACAGTCACTGACAGCCGCGAGGACTTCTGCCTCTCCCCGTCCGTTATTCATGTGGTATTGCTGTAAAGGAGTATCGGAGTATGCCGACGCCTGTTATTCATGTCCATCGAACTGGAATGGCAAAAGCTAAATTCATCACTGGCGACCACCCTCATTGACATCCTCAACAGACAATTAACGACAACTCAAAGACCATCCTTCATCGGTCCTGTCGAAATCTCCTCGCTCGACTTTGGTACCGTCCCTCCAGACATCGAGCTCGTCGACCTTCGTGATATATACCGCGATTTCCTGGACGACTCTGATTCTGACTCCAATTCTGAGCCAGATCATGATAATGTGAAAGTAACGGAGGGTGCAGGGGATGATGAAGACGGGTTTGAGTGGGTGTCAAGGAAGGGGGCACGCCGGGGGATCGCGGAGGAAGGTCTGGCATATCATCATCTACCACCACACATTCGTTACGGGCGCAGTCCATCCGTGGATTTGTTTGCGTCTACGCCTGCATTGCATGCCGGTTCGCCGAGAGACGTGTGGGGCGGGGGCGCTATGCATGTGAGCATGCCTAGCTTGGGCGAATTTAGGCCGACGACGAGCAGCTTGTCGATACCATCGTTTGATCCTAGTTCTGTCTATGATTCGATGCCGCGCGCGTCTATGACGCCAGATAAGTCTTCTCCTTCTCCACAAAATCCTCCGTCTTCACGCCAGGAACCAGAGCCAGCTCCAACCTCTCCGCCCGATAATCCAGATCTTCAGCTGCATCTCTACCTCAATTGGCACTCCAATCTCCGGCTCACGCTCACGACATCCTTATTGATCAATTACCCTTCCCCGTCGTTCATGTCCCTTCCGATCAAGCTTTCAGTGACAGGGTTGGTGTTCACGGGAGAGGTGGCTGTCGCGTACGAGGGTTCGCGTGGCCGAGTGCACTTGTGCATACTCGATGAATTGGATCCCTATGGTCCTGCGTGCAAACGTCCACGAAGCCAATCCAGCACCCCTCCTGAAATGGACGAAGACAACGGAAAACGCGACGGAAAACCTTTGCCAATTGGCCAGCGCCTCCTCCCGTCTATCTTGATCGAGAGTGAGATTGGCCAGGCGGACAAACATGTCCTTAAAAACGTGACGCGAGTCGAGAGGTTCATTCAAGATGTCATACGGAATACGGTGGAGGAGGAACTCGTGTTTCCGAATTTTCATACATTGATCATTGGCGACCAAGGACGCTCGTAAAAACGATAATGTAATGTACAACCATAGTGTAACTGTATATGTTATAGTAGTGATTTGCTCATGTAAGGACCGTCGAGCTCGTAGCCCAGTTTGCGGTAATAATCTCGAGTACCGACACCTGTGGAGAAGGTGAGTGCAAGCTTCCCCTTGTAAACAAAAAGTCGGACCTGATATGACGGCGAGCTTCATACTCCCATGTTCCTCCCGTGCTATTCGTTCTGCTTCTTCCATGAGCAGTGTCCCAAACCCCTGATGTTGGAACTTCGTTGGGTCGCGCCCGTGTACTGGAACCGCAGTGCCATACACATGGAGCTCACGGACGATACTCGACCCTCCCGCTGCACCTTCCTTGCGCACAAGCTCAGGTCGGAAGGTACCTTCCTCGGAACACTTCCGTAGACGAAGAAGCCCAATCAAGATGTCTTGCTCTGGGTCCTCGTAAGAAAGGAAGGTCTCCCACCCACCATTGGCCGCATAATCTCGTCTGAGGAGCTCGACAGATTCCGGTCGTACTTTGTGGTGTATTTCGTGTATCTGTATAAACATCAGTATCCGAGTCACATATTTCAGGACGCCGCACGCACTCCAACTTCGCGATACCGCACATCCCTGCATTCTGCGCCGAAATCTTTCATTCGATTGAGGGCTAACTCTCGTAGATTGCCCGAGTTTTCACAACCACTCGTAACCAGCGGCAATGGAATATCCCTATGTAAAACAGTTGTGTTATAATCATGTTGTTTCACGTCAATTTACATGAGACGCACCTTTGTACACGATATACTCGCGTCCACGGAGGCACGAGCGCCAATATCCGAGCAACAACATCCACCAAGACATTCGGTGTATAATTCTTGTACTTGCCCGTCCGCCAAAGCTCATACAAGCCCGTCCCTCGAATGACTAGAGTAGGATATATCTTTAATCCATCACTCCTAAATGCTGGATTCTCAAAATACTCCTTGAACTGTTCAAGATCCCGCTCCAGACCCACATTCGGGAGATCAGGCATCATATGGGCAACGACTTTGAACCCCGCATCTTTCGCCATGTGAAAGGACTCGGAGACTGCACGCACAGTATGTCCACGATTTGTGTCTCGGGCAACGTCCTCGTATACTGATTGGACGCCGATTTCGAGGCGCGTGCAACCGTAGCGGAGCATCTGTGATAGATGGGGCCTCAAGCAGTAGTCTGGTCGCGTCTCTATGGTTATCCCGATTGCCTTTGACTTGCTCTGTTCCGAGTATCTATACGAGGCATAAATATCCTGCTGTTTGAAACCTAAATAGAGCAGTATTTACCGTACCGCTTCATCAACATCGGTGCCCGTGAAGCCAGATAGAGCGTTATGTAGCTGTGCGACGAATTTTGCGCGGTAGTCCTCTGGCATGCTCATGAAAGTACCACCCATAATTATGAATTCCACCTTGTCGACACTATGACCAAGGGCTTTTAGCTGTTCGACACGACCTCGCGTCTGTTCGTATGGGTCATAGCGCGCACGGATGGCGCGCATACTTGTTGGTTCGTACCCAGTGTAACTTTGCGTGCTGTAATCAAAATCAGAATCCGGTCCACCTGGGCAGTATCTGTACAGGGATGAGGAACATAGTATAAAGACAACAAAGTGGAACGTACACGCAAATGTTCCCTGTCATAGCGATGTGAGGACATCGATGCGGTTTGCACATCACTGCTACCACAGCGATCTATGAGGAACCATCAGATCCAACGGGTCTTGTGGGAAGTAGAAAAGAGTTACATACACCACTGGCCGTTCTTATAGGCCTTGCACGAAGTTTAGGCAAAAGAGCCTTTTTATATTCGTCCGGTATGGCGCTGATGATATCTACCAGCCTCGGCACGCCCCCGAAGCCATATTTCTTAGAGATCTTTGCGCGGAGTTCATTCAGCGAGACTGTTTGGTTAGAATCGTGGGCTTTGATTAATTCTGCGGCGATTCCTGACGTGACACGAAGGAGGATCTCGGCCTGGGAGGGGCCTTGCCGAGATTGTGAGTTGGTGGATGAAAGTGAGTGTGCGATGAGTGTACCTTCGGTTTTTGACCCTTGAACCATTTATAGGCTATCAATTTGGTTGCAAGAAATAATGCGTGTCCTGTTCCTTTCTGTGAGTTTGCTTGTCGTACAATCCGATCTTGAAGAGTAGGTGTATCTAGGAACTGCCGAATCTCGATGTGACTAATACCTCGGGTCACACATGTGTCACGCGCTATTCCGTTGTCACGCTTTGACTCGCCGACGCTAAGCTATGTTTCGACAATGTCGTTTTTCACGACTGCAAAAGTTACAGATTCGTTCCTATTATGACTCCCGGACACATGTTCCGAGAAAAGGCGACAAGGGTGAGCTATATTATCCTGCGCTCGCAGCAATAAATTCCTCATTGATTTCACGCCCAGTTGTCGTTGCAATGTCCGGAGGAGTGGATTCCTCAGTCACCGCAAAATTACTAACGGACAAAGTAAGCATCATGTATCATACTGTTACAACTGACAGATTCTCTGTACCGGCAGGATTATGACCTATCAGCAGTGTTCATGCGCAATTGGGATACACGCGACGAGTCTGGTTCAGATCATGGATGCGAGTGGGAGAAAGACTGGGAAGATGTCAGACGCGTGTGCGGGGTGCTCGATATACCTTGTAAAATGGTATGTTTTATTGATTCACTTTTGCAAGCTTCTAACTTTGTTTACTCGAAGGTGGATCTCTCCCGTGAGTACTGGACGCGGGTATTCGAACCCTCCTTGAAGTCCTGGGAGAGCGGTATCACGCCCAATCCTGACGTGTGGTGTAATAAGTGAGTTGTTTGATATCTATTGCTAAGTATTTTGTTCTTAATCTTGGGTCAGAGAAGTCAAATTTGGCGCATTGCTGGACCACCTGACCGAGGATCCTGGGCTTTCGAACACCCCATGGCTTGCAACTGGTACTTAATATGTTTTCTATCTGTGCTCGATTCAACTCACCTGCTATGCGTGTAGGCCACTACGCAAATAAAGATTGGAAATACCATAACGGCGTTCCGCGACCAAGACTTCTTCGTCCTCGCGACGTCACAAAGGACCAGACATATTATCTGTCTTCTGTCCCTGAACGTAGCCTTTCCCGTGCTATTTTTCCTCTAGGATCCATAAAAAAGACAGAAGTCAGAGAGCTCGCTGTGAAGTGGAACTTACCAACGGCTGCCAGACAAGAAAGCATGGGCATATGTTTCGTGGGGGAGAAACTTAAATTTAATGATTTCATATGTGAGCTCAGATTTCGTGCCTAGCATCATCCGCTGAACCTTCTAGCTCAGCTCAATATATACCACCTAAGCCTGGGCCGATCATCGATCTGGAAACAGGACTCCAGGTGGGCGAACATGCGGGGCCGTGGAATTTCACTATTGGCCAGGGCGCTAAAGTGAGGGGTCTCAAAGAGAAGACCTTTGTTGTGAAGAAAGACATCCCAAAGAATATAATATACGTCGTACCTGGAACGTCAGTATTCTCATATCCTCCTTAGAATCACCTACGATTGTTAATTTACAGAGATCATTCAGCGTTATACGCACAATCCCTGACCATTCGCGATTGGACGTGGATATGGGCCGACAGCCCACCAATAGAGCTCATGCGTCCTGGGGGCCTCAAAGCACGTATAAAATTCCGACATGTGATGTCTGACATAGGCTGCTCAGTGTACTCGTGAGTCCAGCCATCATTTTGTCGTTCACAATCAGTTAATTAGGTCAGTGACAACGATTGCATTCGCATCGACTTCGATGAGCCGCAAAAGGCCATTGCACCAGGACAAGTTGCAACGATTTACATTGAAGACTGGTGTTTAGGATGCGGTACAATTGTGGAAGTAGCTTAGGTGCCGCATTGTATTTCAGATGTCATAAAACGACGAGCTCAACAGGTAATGATGTTCGTACCTGATTTTTGATGCAAATTTTCACGTTTGATCTAGCTTAGATTATTGCGATAGGGCTTTTCGTGGAATCCAGTCGCCTGAGTATCTGTGTACAGCTGCCACTTCCGCTTCTACTTGCAAAGTAAACCTGTCTTGTACTCGGGCACAGCACCGATGGGTTCCACACTTTACTCAGCATAATTTCCCTCCTGCGAGCATCGTCCAATTCGACACCAGCGCATCAGACTAGTACTCTTTGACCTCGTACAAGCGATCCGTTCACTTTCGGACGTCTGAAGAGATGTCTGTGCACTACATTTGCTGTTGTCTTTTCCTCTTCCTATCTTACAAATAGCGTTCGAATGTCTCGCCGACATTTTAATCTTCAAAGTGCGGTGTGCAGCTGTCGTGAGCGAACGAATCTGTGCGCAGGACCGCCGCAGGTCGAGCACGGCTTTCTGGAGTGTCAGTCTTTGTCATCAGTTGAATGTCGTGGCGTAAGTAAAAACTGTTTGCGATTTGCGGTTCAGCCAGAACGGTACTGGCATGGGGGGAGGGGGGGAGGTAATGCGAGGCAGGCAATGTATTTCTCAGATACCGGAAAAGAAGGGTCATTTTTCAGTATCTCGGTATGTATACAGTATATAAGCACTAGTATGCGGGTGGCGTTGATGTCACTTTTGAATTATTATACATAATGCCTACTGGCTCGTTCCTCGTCGTAAAAATTACATGGGTATGATATTGCTACATGCTCTGCACGCATAATCATAGCACCATTTTCAATTACACTTTGTGGACAGCGAGCTACAGGTGAATTCAGTAAAATGTCACACTGACGTCACGTGATGAACTAGAGTATGCCAGTGAACACTATATATATATTACATAGTACTACAGTACTACTATGTAGTAGTCACTTGTGAATAATCGTCGGCGGGAGTACGTAGAATCTCTAGCTTCTCATGGGCTGGATTACCGGTCCACGTCACTCCCGAGTCCCGAATTCATTCGCGTCACCAGACGAATAAGGTACACTTCGTTTCAACTCGTTTTTGTCGAATTGTGAGTTGCCCTGGTGCTCGGGTCCCAAACGAAAACAACATTTTAATTAGCGAGCATGTCTACGGCGTCCTGTTCGCTTGCTGTTCGGTATCAACTTGCATTATAATTACGTATGTCATTTGCTATAAAATATGGAACTCGAGTGCTGCTGATCTGTCTAACTAAGTTTTCAAGCCATGCTTGCTACCGTTCTGTTGCTTGCTCTGCCGTTCTGCGTTGCAGAGTCAGCATCCAGTTATGCAGGATCAACCGTCGCTGATTCTTATCCTCCCCCCGGTGCTACCAACACTGCCGTGGACGCTTACTTCCCGGATGCATCTCAAGTCGGTTATGCAGGTCCAACGCCTAGTCAGTGTTAATGCTAATTGTATTTCCTGTGTTCTAATCCAAAAAAATAGCTGGTGCTGAACCTGCAGCTATTGTTACTGCCGTCCCGTTCTCTAAGGTCGAAAACATATTTCCCTTGTCGAGGCCGAACTCGGCAGACGGCGCAGACAGCACTTTCAATGTGACACGTCACTGGGGCAACTTGTCGCCCATGTACTCCGTGGAGTCGTTTGGTCTTCCTAACGCATCCCCCATTATCCCAGAAGGGTGTGGCCTCAATGCAGTGCATCTCTTGATGCGCCACGGCGCTCGCTATCCGACTTCTGACGGCGGAATTGCTCATTTCGCCGCTGACATTCATGCTGCTGCAGTGAAAGAGGGCTTCAATGCCACTGCTGATTTGAAATTCTTGGCAACCTGGACATATAAGCTGGGCGCGGAGATTTTGACACCTTTCGGCCGCGAATCGCTGTACGTTCGCTCTCATTTGCGATGCTGCCACTGACGCTCTCCTTCGTCAGCTTTAGCAACGGGGTTGCCTTTCGCTACAGATACGGCCAGTTGCTTAATGGCTTCACGGACCTTCCAGTATTCCGCACTACTTCTGAAGGTTTGTTTGCATCGAACGTTTATTTCATGATGCGCTCTGATGGTTTGCTTATGTCATATAGATCGCATGGTGGATTCTGCGTAAGCAATTCATTCATATTTTTGCGTGTGCTGCGCCTCATGATACTATTCGTAGCCTGAACTTTGCTGCAGGCTTTTTTGACGTCAGAACTTACGAGACCGACTATCACCAGGAGATCATCATCGAGGAGAACAACTTCAACAACACCCTCGCCCCTTATGATGTGTGCCCCAACGAGAATTCGGTGGATATCGGTTATTTCGGTGGCACCCAGGCTAGTAAATGGGCAAATATCTATCTCGAAGATGCTCAAACGCGCTTGCAACCAATGCTCCAAGGATTTAATTTGACCATCTCACGGTTGGTTTACATGCAGCAATTGTGCGCTTATGAGGTAATTTTACCCTTTTTACAATCTTGATGGATCTTGTTCCTGACATCCTGCAGACTGTGGCCCTCGGATATTCCAAGTTTTGCGACCTTTTCACTGAGGAAGAATGGGAAGGATTCGAGTACTACAATGGTATGTTCCCTCAAATGATCCATGCTGAGCTCGGTGGTGATCTCTATTTGCAGATCTTGGTGAGCACATTGAGTGGTAAACTTGCAGCCTGAGCGACTAATGACTTCGTGGTGCACAAAGAGTTCTGGTACAGCTGTGGACCAGGCAATCCAACATCAGCAGCGCAGGGCCTTGGCTACGTTCAGGAGCTAGTGTCTCGTCTCACTCACACTCCCATCAATGTCTGGAATAGCAGCACCAACAGCACTCTTGACTCGAGCAACATCACATTCCCTCTCAATCAACCTATATATGTGGACGCTACCCATGACGTGGTCATTTCCAATAGTATGTTGCCACTTTCCAATGCAAGACTACTGACGAAAGGGCTCAGTCGTCACTGCTCTGAACTTTACTAGTCTAGCTGCGACTGGTCCTCTGCCAACCGACCACATACCCCCTCACCGTGTACGCATTCTCATGAACCACCGCTTGTCTCTATTTCTGACGAGTCACATCAGTCTTACATTTCTAGCCAGATCGCACCTTTTGCCAGCCAGCTTGTAGCGCAGGTGATCAGTTGCCCAGCCTCGGAGGAACCCACTCATATCCGGTTCCTTCTGAACGATGGTGTGGTGCCACTGACGGGCATCCATGGTTGCATGGAAGATTCGAACGGTCTTTGCGCGCTGCCCAGCTTTATCAGCGGAATGCATGAACGAATTGGGGAAATCAACTACGCGCATGATTGCTTCGCCAATTATACCATGCCCGATCCTGACAACATCATTGATGGAAGATACCCTAGTTGAAAGGATTAATGAGTATTTGGTCGTATGTATCCATCAGTTGCCACCTTTTGGAGAATGTTAATGATGTCGGAAAAAGGTGAACGACGCGCATTTCCAGCTAATCCATTTTTCACGGACATATTTTGTTATTACATATAACAAGCAATTCGCTCGCCTTCGGACGGTTCAGTCGTATCATACATTGTCATCATCTCGAACTGCTTTACAGCAGTAACGAAGAGTAATCTATGTTCTCCATCTCCCTTTCTTCATCCGTGACACCTGAATGTTGTAACTGTTCCATACCCTGAACAGTGCTATGTCAGTGAACCGTGTGCGAACGCATCGGTACGAAGGTCGAGTACAGCACGTCGGAGGGTGAGTCCTTGGCAGCCGTTGAACGTCATCGCATATACAGACCGTAAAAAGTGATGCGAGGCACGTCTAAACAATCAACTTCGCCTATTTGTGGAATCTGCACTTCGGCGAAACGTTGGTGCAGAGCACGCGCGCATTTGATACGTTAGTAACCCCTTCTCCATTGACATATTTCGTTGTACTGTCCAAACTTGTAATCGCGGAATTTATTGACTCACGGTGCAGTGGCCAGGAGAGTATGCAATGGAGCGAAGGTGCGATTTTCAAGAGCCAACTTTGATACTCGCAGGAACGAGAACCTCATTCTCCCTCAGCCCGACTTGGAGGTGCAATCACCACAGCCAACCAGTATCAAGTGATAAATTCGTTGCATTCATGTCTTCACTTATCAGTACAAGATGAATGTAAGAAGAGATCTCGGGTTGACTAACTCGGGCATGGCCGGGAAATTATATCAGTTACGACAGTTGAAACACAGTAAAAGCGGCCACGGTGCCTACCGAAGGAAACTTCTGGCTGAAGATGATCCGTATGCGGGACACAACGTGCCTACAGCAAAAGCAAGTCATCATGCATCAGGGTTCAGGGATAGTCAGTATCCCACAGAAGACGCAACTTAACGACTACTCACCATAACGCATGTAAGTGATTGCTGCTACCTCAGTATTCAGTATTCCTACTAATCGAGACACCGAACAAGATTGAATGGCGGCCACCACCCACAAAGCGTCCACAAAAGCGCCCGCCCAGTCTGCTAAACTGACACTGGGGGGTCATGAGGAACTTGTGTTTGAAGTAGCTTTCATCCTAGGTACCCGTCTCCTCGTCACCGGCTCGGCCGATGAGAGTCTTCGAGTGTGGGATCTGGACACGGGGAAACAAGTGGGAAAGCCCTTGTTGGGACATGATGACACAGTCTGGGCGGTCTCGGCGTCCCCTGATGGACGTTGGATAGCGAGTGGAGGAGAGAATGGAAGCATCCTGGTCTGGGAAGTTGTGACAAACAAGAGAGAGTTCAAAATCAAAAGAGTGCGCGTCTGGTTTGAGGGCCATGACAGTGGGGTTCCGAGCGTCGCATTTGCACCGGACAACAAGACATTTGCAAGTGCATCATGGGACAAATCAGTATGCGTGTGGAACAGGGAGACGGGAAAAATAATCATCCGATTCGGACCACTCGCTGTGGGCAGTGCTGCAAACTCGGTGTCGTACTCCCTGGATGGGACGAAACTCGCAGCAGGCACAGATAGGAATATCATTATTTGGAATTCAGCAAGTGGAGAAGAGTTGCTGAGAATAGAACAACGGGCATTCAGAGTCGCATTCACTCCGGATGGTCTCCGTCTCGTCAGTGGAAACATGCAAGACGTCCGAATATCAGATGCTACCACCGGAGCCATCATCAAACAATTTGACGCCCACACCGCTGCATTTTTCTCACTAGCCATTGCTCCCGATGGTACCAAATTCGTCACCGCGTCAGACGACAAGACGACGCGGTTCTTTGACCTGATCACTTTCGAACCCATTGGCGAGCCGCTCCAGCACCCTGACGGAGTCCGGTGTGTGACATTTTCCCAAGACAGTCAGCTCATTGCTACTGGCTGTTACGACGGATGTGCTCGTACATGGACAGTTCCTTTGAGCGAGTAAGAGAAGGAGCTTCAACAGGTGAACAAATTTTCTCCTTATATCATGCCTCACGCCCGCTGACCTGTCATATAGTCCACTCAGAAAATTCTCAAAGTACGCTTTCACGCTCGTTGTTCTGTACAATCCCTGAGTTCAGTCCTGCAGAAAACCATCCCAGACATCTCCGTGTTGTAAGCTCCTCAATTGTTATGTATCAACTTCCGGCAACTCAGCAGTAGTACTAGTCCTACTCAGTACAGGCTATATCTCATAGTGTATATCGGACCTTCGAAGGCTTGGCATTCATTCTACATTATACAATTTTCTGGGCGTCTACCTACATACCACGATGGAAGCTGCCAAAACTCGATACAAGATGAGATTTATACATTATGAAATAGTGTACTGTATCAAACTCGTTTCCCCATCGCGGGGCAAACGAGGTACACCTCGTTAGTACCGAATTTGAAATTATCATATGGGTTCTCAAATTTCAGATGCCAACGATATTTGCATGTCCGTGTGGTGTTCTGTTCGAAGTGAACTTCTTACTGAAACATAGTGCATTGCATATCCTGATTTCAGCATAAGCATAAAGTACTTAAAAAGTCAAACACCGCCTACGCGGAGAGCAGCATGCAGACCACTATGCAGGCGTACGGATGCTACCGTAACATTCGCGTACACGACGAGACTGTCGCATGACAACCGCCGGCTCGCTCTGAAGAAAAGGGATAACCTGAAGACACCGACAGGCTGCCAAGATGCGACAAGAAGTGCAAGGGAGCTGGCCTAGCTGGCCGTGGCTTCACCAGCTATGAACCAGTCCCACACAAACCAGCTCGCGCATAGGATCTGCTACAGTAGAATAACTCGCGCCATCTAGAACACAGTTACGCCCGATTGCGTCCCCGCATACTGGCTCTTCACGTCGTCATGCCGTCCCGGCTCTTGTAATCATATCCACTCATGCTGGCCATGTCAGAAGCACCAGCAGCAGAGGAGAAGGAGCCACGCCTCTGTAAACGGTCTGACTGCGAGAATGCCATGGCAGAACCGCCAATGCTTGCCGTGCTTGGCGGTCCAGCATCCTGAGAGATGATGGAACTGGCGTAGCTACCGTACGCGCTGCGCTCCTCAACCCCGGAGCTACGGGGTATACCAGGACCAAACCCACCAGCCGCTGCACACATAGGGAGGGAGTCCAGAAGAATAAGTGGCTTGGGAGCGTAGAGACTGCACGTCAGACGGGATGTATCCGAGAGCATCATGAGTGCGGTAGAAACTAGTATCGAAGCGACTTGGTGTTCCAGATCTGCCTGCACCTCCAGTGCTGGGGATGTAGTCCCGTGCATTTGTCTCGTGGCGACGAAACTGGTCCATGGACTTGACGAGGAAGCGACGAGGTTTGCTGAATTGGATCATGCTCGCCTATAAGTTGCTCAGCGGACCCTCAACAAGGGTGTTACGTTCCTTCGACTGACTCGGACGTGGCTGGGAAATTATATCAACAACGGGTGGAAACACAGTAAAAGCGGCTACAGCGGCTACTGAAGACAGCTGCTGGAAGAAGCGCTAAAGATGATCCGTATGCAGGACACCACGTGTCTACAGCAAAGCTGACATCAGGGTTCAATAATTAGTACCTTACGCTTAACGACTACTCACTATAGCGCATGTAAGTGATTGCTGCTCCCTCAGTATTCCTGCTAAGCGAGACATGGAACAAGATTGAATATTGAATGGCGGTCACCACCCACAAAGTATCCACAAAAGCGCCCGCTCAGCTTGTTGAACTGACACTCAAGGGTCATGAGGAAGCTGTGTACGGCGTAGCTTTTATCCTCGGTACCCGTCTCCTCGTCACCGGCTCGACGGATAAGAGTCTTCGGGTGTGGGATCTGGACACTGGGAAACAAGTGGGAGAGCCCTTGTTGGGACACGATGCCCAAGTCTGGGCGGTCTCAGCGTCCCATAATGGGCGTTGGATTGTGAGTGGGGGAGAGAATGGAAGCATCCTGGTCTGGGAAGTTGCGACAAACAAGAGAGAGCTCAAAAGAGTGCCCGTCTTGTGTAAGGGCCATGAGAATGCGGTTCAGGGCGTCGTATTTGCACCGGACAACAAGACATTTGCAAGTGCATCGGAGGACAAAACGGTATGCGTGTGGAAGAGGGAGACGGGGAAAATAGCCCTCGGACCACTCAAAGTGGGTGGTGATGCATATGTAAACTCGGTGTCGTACTCCACAGATGGGGCAAACCTAGCAGCAGGCACAGAGAAGCACATCATTATTTGGAATTCAGCAAGTGGAGAAGTGTTGCTAAAATTAGAACAGCCGGCATGGCGAGTCACATTCACTCCAGATGGTCTCCGTCTTGTCAGTGGAAACCTGAGAGACATCCGAATATCAGATGCTACCACCGGAGACATCATCAAACAGTTCGATGCGCATACTACCGAATCCTTTTTATCACTAGCCATTGCTCCCAGTGGCACCAAATTAGCCACCACATCACACGACAAGACGACACGGTTCTTTGACTTGACCACTTTCGAACCCATCGGCGAGCCACTCGAGCACCCTGATCCAGTCTGGTGTGTGGCATTTTCCGAGGACGGAAAACTCATCGCGACTGGCTGTCAGGACGGACATGTTCGCACATGGACAATTCCTCTGAGCGAGTCAGAGAAGGAGTTCCAACAGGCGAGCCAATCATCTCGTCATATCATACTTCACGCCCGGTGACCTGTCATATAGTCCACTCAGAAAATTGTCAAGGTACGCCGCTTTCACGCTCGTTGTTTTCTACAATCCCTAATTTCAGTCCTACAGAAAACCATCCCAGATCCGCGGCTTCGCCCAAAATTCACTCCAATAGCGACTAATAGATTCTTCGATGATGTAAGTCCATATGATACAGTAGATCTGATGCACGTCTCACCATCCTTTGACAGTTTGATCCAACTGGACGCAACAATCGCGCCGGCACTACGCGCAACGCCAAAGGCTCCAAAATCAAAAACGTGATACATTCAAGTTGTATCTTTTCTCGCTCCTCTGCTTCCCAGGACCATACTCCTCGCCCACGCGGGGTTCCCCTTGTAGACGTCCCTGCAACACGAGGCAAATATGTAAGCTTTCCTGACTTTTCGACATCCATCTAGTGACGCTGATGCTGTCTCGCAGCGCACCGCTAATGCCCACAGTGGAAAAAGGGACAAGTTGTTGCGGCTACAACGTCCTCCTCGCAACTGGCAAGCTCACGCTGGTGCCTCAAGCAGCAGCAGCACGCCACCAGCGGGGACATCCGATGTGGTCAATGAAACTGGGCCAGCAACGTTGCAGACTAGAGGTCCCAGACCCTCTTCCCCACTAAATGTCGCACCTGCCCCATACAGCAGCTGCTTTGCGGTTTTCGCAAGGTGCCTCCCACGTTTATCACAATTCACTTCAGGTTCTCGCTAGGCTTCTTGTCCCTTCTGAGTATTTGTAGATGTTACTACATGTATTGGAAGATACTTATGCAATTCAATTATGATCCCAGTAGAGGACTAACATCGTAAGCAGCATTCTCTTGTTCAGATACCACTTATTTGCCGGTCATACCTGAACTGCATGTGCCAACAGAGCAAACAATGGGCCAGGTGAAATTGACGTGGTCGTGACGCGCCTGTGATGCGGAGATATCCTGCACTTGCAGATGAAGATAGGTCTATTGCCGAGTTTTCCTTGCTGTTTGGATTCCACCGTTCTTCGTGGACAGTAAACTGAAGGCAATTTCCGCTGCATGCAGCGTATGCAGCCACACACAATGGTTGCCAAGGACTGACACTGGCTTGCACAGTACTTGACCTGGGAACAGATCTGTTTGCTCACAGTCATTGTCCAGGGTGAGAACACGAAGAGAATCTTACGCTGTTTGCAGAGACAAACGAAGAACAGAACTATCGTGTTTCCTCACTTGCTACATACCGTAAATAAATTTGGTGTCGAAGAACAGACCGGCATGTCCTTGTTATAAATGTAAAATGTAATAACGAAATATGTCAGTCAAAAATGTATTAGTGGAATATGTGCGTCGTTCACCTTCATGAACGATCTTCAAAAGGTGGCAACTTGTGGGTATATACGACCAAATATACATTTCGTTAGTGCCCAATTCGAAATGATTTTCAAATTTCCCATGCCAATGTCATTTTGATTTTCGAGCATGTCCATGCGGTGTTCTGTTCGAAGTTAACTTCTTACTAGCTATTTTTGCTATATAAAGTATGTCGACTGACCTCTCTAACCCACTAAGCCATGCTTGCTACCGTTCTGGTGCTTGCTCTGCCGTTCTGCGCTGCAGAGTCCGCATCCAGTTATGCAGGATCAACCGTCGTCGATTCTTATCCTCCCCCCGGTGCCACCAACACTGCTGTTGATGCTTACTTCCCGGACGCATCTCAAGTCGGTTATGCAGGTCCAACGCCTAGTAAGTGATGATGCTAATTGTATCTCCTGTGTTCTACTTAAAAAAAATTCAGCTGGTGCTGAACCTGCGGCCATTGTCACTGCCATCCCCTTCTCTAAGGTCGAAAACATATTTCCCTTGTCGAGGCCAAATTCGGCAGATGGTGCAGACAGCACTTTCAACGTGACGCGTCACTGGGGCAACTTGTCGCCCATGTACTCCGTAGAGTCATTTGGGCTTCCTGATGCATCCCCCATCATCCCAGAAGGGTGTGGCCTCAATGCGGTGCATCTCTTGATGCGCCACGGTGCCCGCTATCCAACTTCTGGCTCCGGACCTTCTCAGTTCGCCTCTGACATTCATGCTGCTGCGCTGACAGAAGGATTCAGCGCCACTAGTGATTTGGAATTCTTGGCAACCTGGACATATAAGTTGGGCGCGGAGATTCTGACGCCTTTTGGCCGCGAATCGCTGTACGTTGGCTCTTCTTTGGGATGCTTCCACTGACAGTCTCCTCCGTCAGCTTTAGCAACGGGGTTGCCTTCCGCTACAGATATGGCCAGTTGCTTAATGGCTTCACGGACCTCCCAGTATTCCGCACTACTTCCGAAGGTTTGCCTTCATCGAACGTTTGTTTCACAATGCGCTCTGATTGTTTGCTTATGTCGTATAGATCGCATGGTGGATTCTGCGTGAGCAATTCCTTCATGTTTCTGCGTGGGCTGTGCCTGATAATGCTATCGGTAGCCTGAACTTTGCTGCAGGGTTTTTTGACGTCAGAACTTACAAGACTGACTATCATCAGGAGATCATCATCGAGGAGAACAACTTCAACAACACCCTCGCTCCTTATGATGTGTGCCCCAATTCCAATTCGGAGGATATCGGTTATTTCGGTGGCACCCAGGCCAGTAAATGGGCGGATATCTATCTCAAAGATGCTCGAAGGCGCTTGCAACCAATGATCCAAGGAATGAATTTGACCATCTCGCTATTGGTTGACATGCAAGAACTGTGCGCCTATGAGGTAATTCCATCCTTTTACGCTGTCTTCATGGATTTGTGACATGCTGCAGACGGTGGCCCTTGGATATTCCAAGTTTTGCGACCTTTTCACTGAGGAAGAATGGGAAGGATTCGAGTACTACAACGGTATGTTCCCTCAAATCATCCTTGCTGATCTCAGCGGGGATCTCTATTTGCAGATCTTGGTGAGTACATTGAGCGGTAAACTCGTAGCCTGAGCGACTGTTGACTTCGTTGTGAACAAAGATTTCTGGTACAGCAATGGACCAGGGAATCCAACAGCGGCAGCGCAGGGCCTTGGCTATGTTCAGGAGCTAGTGTCGCGTCTCACTCACACTCCCATCAATGTCTGGAACAGCAGCACCAACAGCACTCTTGATTCGAGCAACATCACATTCCCTCTTAATCAACCTATATATGTTGACGCTTCCCATGACACGGTCATCTCCTGTAGTATGTTGTCACTGCCTTTCTTTCCAATGCAAGACTGCTGACGAAAGGGCTCAGTCGTCACTGCTCTGAACTTTACTAGTCTAGCTGCGACTGGTCCTCTTCCAACCGACCATATACCCCCTCACCGTGTACGCGTTCTCATGAACCACCGCCTGTCACTATTTCTGACGTGTCACATCAGTCTTACGTTTCTAGCCAGATCGCACCTTTTGCCAGCCAGCTTGTAGCCCAGGTGATCAGTTGCCCAGCCTCGGAGGAACCAACTCATATCCGGTTCCTTCTGAACGATGGCGTGGTGCCACTGACGGGCATTCATGGCTGCACAAAAGATTCGAACGGTCTTTGCGCGCTGCCCAGCTTTATCAGTGGGATGCATGAACGAATCGGACAAATCAACTACGCGCATGATTGCTTCGCCAATTATACTATGCCCAATCCCGACAACATCATCGATGGAAGATACCCTAGTCAAAAGGATGATTCGGTATTTGGTCGTATATACCTACAAGTTGCAACCTTTTGCAGAATGCTTATGATGTCGGGAAAAAGGTAAACGACGCGCATTTCGTACCAACACGTTTTTGACCCACAGATTTCGTTGTTACATGTACTGTGATGTGTTATATACTGTTGCGCAGAGGGACTGCTTCCCACCATCAGAATGATATGTCCGAATAAAAGTGCAGATTCGAACGGTGAGCAGTGTGGAGCTCATGTGGAGCATGTACATGGGGGCCACGCGAATTGCTTGTGCAGGAAACGTTTCACCTTAGAATGTTAGATGTTGGTCCAGCGCCACGTCTACCTTTCCAGAACTTTGTGCTTCAATACAGGACTGTCAAATAACTGTTGCATCCTTGATTAACAAGTCCCGCGACGGCGGCGGCTGTCTATCTCAGGCAGATCCAAGGAGAATGGTCACTGTTATTTCGTAAACCAAGGAGGCATTGAAAACAGCCTATCCAACCTAAAGTATATAAAAGACCTTGCTGAGCCTTCAAATTGCAGGACTCGAAGCTTTCCAACTGCCCACGGGAACACAAACCTGAAATATGATGGTACTACAGCCAAATAATATGAACCCATTGATTCATTGCATCCATGTGGTCACCTAACATTAGAAGAGCAGTGCGAGAGGATATCTTGGTTCGACTGATAGGCTGACCGATACAATGTATCAGCCACGACATGTTGAAGCGCAGTAAAAGCAGTCGCGATGCTTGCTATGGCCAGGAAAACGTTCTGAAAGAAGCACTTGAATCAGTATAGTACCAAGAAGCAAAATTGATAGAAAAGAGTAATTGCAAGTCTATACGCTAACAGTCTACAGCAAGGCCGACATGGGGATAAGTATGCAATGGAGCAAAGCTGCCACTTTCAAGAACCAATGATGCTGGCAGGAACGGACATCTCATTCTCCCTCAGCCTGACCTGGACGGTGTTGCTATTACCACGGCCAATCAGTATCAAGCAATTGATTCGTTACATTCATGTTATCACTTATCAGTACAATATACACGCAGGAAGAGATCTCGGGTCAACTGAATCGAACGTGGCCGGGAAATTATGACAAGTTGAGAGTCTTCAAACACAGTGAAAGCGCCCACGGCGCCTACTGAAGAAAGTTCCTGGAAGAAGCGCTGAAGATGATCCGTATGCATGATACCACGTGTCTACAGCAAAGCTGACATCAGGGTTCAGAAATAGTCAGTATCCTACAGAAGATGCAACTTAACGACTACTCACCATAGCGCATGTAAGTGATTGCTGCCCCCTCAATATTCCTGCTAAGCGAGATACCGGACAAGATTGAATGGCGGTCACCACTCACAAAGCATCCACAAAAGTGCCCGCCCAGCCTGTTGAACTGACACTCAAGGGTCATGAGCAATTTGTGAATGAAGTAGCTTTCATCCCCGGTGCCCGTCTTCTCGTCACTGGCTCGGCCGACCAGAGTCTTCGGGTGTGGGATCTGGACACGGGGAAACAAGTGGGAAAGTCCTTGTTGGGACACGATGATATAGTCTGGACGGTCTCGGCATCCCCTGATGGACGTTGGATAGCGAGTGGGGGAGGGAATGGAAGCATCCTGGTCTGGGAAGTTGCGACAAACAAGAGAGAGCTCAAAAGAGTTCCCGTCTCGTTTAAGGGCCATGAGAATCTGGTTTGGGATGTTGTATTTGCACCGGACAACAAGACATTTGCAAGTGCATCATGGGACAAAACGGTATGCGTGTGGAAGAGGGAGACGGGAAAAATAGTCCTCGGACCACTCAAAGTGGGCAATGAGGCAAACTCGGTGTCGTACTCCCCAGATGGAACAAAACTAGCAGCAGGCACACAAAGGCACATCATCATTTGGAATTCAGCAAGTGGAAAAGAGTTGCTGAAAATAGAACAGCGGGCATGGGGAGTCGCATTCACTTCAGACACATCGGGGTGAACGATATTTAAAAGAGGTTTATATGTTGTACAAAATGTGAAGACAGTATTTAATATTTAAACTAACATAAAGATGGGTGCACGACTTCAAATTTTGGTGGTGTTTTGTGTGTAATCCAAAATATCAAATATTCACAACCATATTCCCACAGACAATATGTCAACAAACATAAGAAATATAGTCAGATTTTTCATGTCTGCTTCAACTTAAAGTTCAATTTCCATGTAAAACTTTGGAGAAAACTTGAAGTTTTACAGATGACATGACATTAAAACTCGATTTAAATGTCAAGCTTTGGCAAAACTTCAAGTTTTCTCCAAAGTTTTATGTAAGAATCAAACTTTAAATTGAAGCAGACATGGAAAATCTGATTATATCTATTATATTTGTTGACATATTGTCTGTGGGAATATGGTTGTGAATATTTGATATTTTGGATGACACACAAAACATCACCAAAATTTGAAGTCGTGCACCCATCTTTATGTTAGTTTAAATATCAAATATTGTTTTCACATTTTGTACAACATATAAACCTCTTTTAAATATTGTTCACCCCAATGTGAGATGTATGCTGCTGAATCTGCACAAATATTATTTGTGCCCCCCCGAAATAAAAAGTGTGCCCCCCGAAATTGAATTTGTGTGACACCCCGAAAAAGGAAATTGTGTCGCCCCGAAAACTATTGTGTGTCGCCCCGAAAACTGCAACATGTGTCGCCCCAAAATTATATCATGTCGCCCCGAAATTAAAATTGTGATACCAATATTTGACAGAGTGTATTTTATCATCGTCATGCTCATTTCCACCCAGACTTACACGAAACAAGTCAATTAAAGCATTGTAGTAAGAGATAGTTACTATGTACAAGTATCAGAATATAAACAGATATAATAAAGTCAGTGTAAAAGGATTATAATCAGTGCTGTCAATCGGTGATGGGTATATTTCAAGTTGAACGATATAGGTGCCAAAAAAAATCTAGAAATTGAAAAGACGATTCCCTTCCCATGGGTTGTCAATGCTGGTATCGAGAACAAAAGACCCAGAGGCCTGCAAGGTTGGGGGGTTATCAAGACTGGGATCAATAACAAAAGATACAGAGGCCTGCAGTGGAGATGACGAGACAGGCTACAAAGGGGTGAGGTCAGCCTCCACAGGTGCCTCTGGCTCAGCAACAACATCATGATTATCTAAACTGAAAGAACCAAAAAAGTCACCAGTGTATTTGTCATCACTTGCAGTCAAGTCAACTATAGTAGCCGACTCGGATATGGTTTCAGAGTCCAATGCAGGCATAATCTTGTCATCAGTTTCTCTTGATACTGATCACAAAAGTTTAATATGAGCCTCGCTCGCAATCAACAAAAAAAACAATATACCATACCTCGATGATATTTGGTCTTGCGAGGGGGCTCTGATAAGCTTGACTCAGATGAGGTGGAGCTGTCTTCTGAGTCACTGGATATACTCTCAGACTTGGTACGACCATGGTATGCTGAGCTAGATGAAAGAGTGGCCTTCTCCTTCCCTTTTGATTTCGCCCACCCTTGCAACACTGACAGTAGGATGCTTTGATGAGTGACTAAGAAGGCAGGAATTGGCATAGTCTGTTTGAAGCGAACAAACTGAGGACTGACCTAGAATCACCACATTTTCACGAAATCCACCTCTCGAATTCGTCCTTGCATTTCGTGCCACCGATGACCCATCAGGGAATTGGATACCAGGAGGAATTATGATCCTGCGCTTCTCTTTGACACAAAGATAGTATTGGGGCAGATACTGAAAGATCTCGTCTTGGTCCTCCTCGTAATCTGGATTCATCAACTTTGGCAAGGCATCAAGATAAAGGAAGAGCCGAGGGAAAAATTTGTGAAGCTCTAGGTCAAAGAGCTCGAAAGACCAGTTCTTGCTGATGATGATACCATCGACATAATCTGTGATCGCCAGTCTCATGACCTCAAGAGTCTGGACCTCCACCAAAGTTGGTGCTTGGGGATTGTGAAGAACAGGTGTCAGAAGTGGGATATACGAATGTGAGGTCTTCTTAGACTAAAAAGCAGTCAGCAATCCCAGCCAATCACAGTTATGATACCGACAGCTCACCTGTCTTGTTCCACAGGGAATAAAGATTATTTCTCCAGCTTTAAAGTGGAAGTTAGGAAGGCGAGCTGGCTTTGACTAATAAACAAACATTCCAACAGTCACTTGCCTGAGCAACAACTCATTTTAAAACATGCTGACACTTACTTTAGAGACCATCTGAGCCTTTGGCCTGCTGTGAGATTGAGAAGCAGACTTTAAGCCTTGATTGGCCTCGCTATTGGCCTTTTTATAGGCAGTTGATGATCCAGCTGAATTACTGAGCAATTCCTGCAAGATGGAATTAACTGCTAGTGTCGAGGTTGACTTTCTAGCATTGTCCATTTGGCTGCTGGCCTGTCGTTTGCGCTTGGGAGCCATATGAAAAATTAAGAAGGTAGCAGAAAGATAAAGGAGTGATTGGTGACAGAAGAGACAGTAGTAATTTTTAAGTTGGCTGTAGATTGTTGTAGTATGAAAGTGCTCAGTTGTAGTTGAATTCAACCACATTATTCATCACATGATCTGTGGCTGTACATGCTGTATAATTGCATGGACACTTCAAACTTAATATCGTCGACTTTAAGCCAGTCTGCTTGCTTGTATATTGAGAGTCTAGGTACTATAATCGTAGTTAGCTATCAGAGCCATTGTGATGCCCAACACTATTGGTATTACTATCTGTGTCACTACTAGATCCAACATCGGTATTGGCAAGCTCCAAAAGCCTGAACATGATATCGAGTGCTTGACACCATTTTATTGCCCTAGGTTGCCAAATAAAATCAGGCAAGGGGATTCGTAATTCCTTGGTCCCCTGTCGTCCTGATCGGATTATTTCATGTGAGGGATACTCATCACCATCCCATTCATGTGGAAGAACACCAAATCCTTCTGGGATGTGTCCTGCCTCTCATACTTGAGTAAAAGCTTGATGAAAGGTGTTGTGAAGAGTAGCAGAGTTGAATGGACTGGCATGCTTTGGAACACGAACAGGCTTATGGTGGAAATGAGCATCATGATCAGCAGCAATGAGCTGGGGAAGCTCTTGTAGATCTTCTGTTTCGACACCTGGGTTCTCAAAATCACCGATGTCTTCCCACTCCTCCTCTGATTCTTCATCATCTGATTCTCCATTAGTAGAACCAGAAGCTGAGTATACCTCATCTGAGGGGTGACCTGCTCCAGTCTGATGGGGTGCACAATGTATAGGCTTGCCTGCAGTTCCATAGTACTGTCTGATGATGTCAGGATGGATTCCTTCACAATCATCGGCATATAGCCCATGTTCGAGCTGGCCCATAAGCCTCATATCCTAATGACCACAAAAGAAAAACTTCCCTATTAAGCTGATCATGTTTAAGATATTGGATGACATACATTTGGGCTCTGATCATGTCCCTCTCCTGAGATAGGGTGTGCATTCCATTCAGCTTGAAATGAGCAGCAGTCAGACTCAATCTCCTCGAGGAAAAGCTCATGTAATAGCCAAAGATGCTGAGCATTGGACACATCTAGGTCATGAAGCCTCTCAAGTCGATAGAAAAATGCATGCCACATGCGAGCAAATTGGGTGCCGACTTCAACCCAGGACCGTTCAATCCTGCTGTTGTGAGTCGATCTAATGAGGGGCAGATTTTAACTCAACTGATGTAAGCAATGAAATTGTGTTTACTTACGATCCCCACATAAAGCTCGCATGGTTGGGCCCTCTGGTCATGATCATATATACCAAGACCTTTTTGTTTTCCCCACCTCTATCTCCTCATATTCTTGAAGGTGTGCCATAGATAGCAACAGCATTCAAAAACACCCTAAGCACTGTGGATGCACTATTGCTTGTGCTGGGATGAATGGCGACTATCTGAAAGTCAATGAAGATCAGATGTAGGCAGCTAGTGGAGAATAATAGCCTACTGTGCGGCAATATCCATCAATGATACCATGAATTACGATGCCCCAACGAATTAGCTTATGGTGCCCATCCATGTGCCACAGAGCATTTGGTCGTGAAACCTTGTACTGCCGCCGTTGGATCATAGTGCGTTGGTGGAGGACAGTTCCCAAGGGATCGACATGGTGGATAGAGGAAATAACTCGTTGTTGCTGTATCCGCAAGCCCAACTGTCGCAAATACATTGTTCTGCTTCAAGTAGGAGTGCAAGGTATTATGATGGATGCCCATGACTCGTGCTAGCTTGGTTTGTTGTAGATGACGGCCAGGAGAGGCAAATTCATGCAACAGCTGGACATTTGGTACCTTACGAGGTCTCCCTGGTTTGCCAGTGTGTGCGACAGTGATTGGCTGTGGGACTGAAATATTTGATGTTTCACTAGCAATAGTCTAGATATTAGAACTACTGTGGTGAATATGATAGGCTCACCCTCCTCGTGCTGTTGTTTCAGCCTGCTGTAGCTGCCTCAGTAGCATTCCAAATTTTGCTGTAACCTGAAGAACCCAAGACATAGGGACACCGACTACTGCAGAAGAGTTCTCCAGTGCTCGTAATAGTGGTATGGCATTGTTGCTGATGGCCTCAGCATGAAAACATATGCGATGCAGTTCACTGCAAGTCTGGAGTGCCTGAGATGCATGACGATAGATATGGAATAGAGTATCATGGGCTTGATGCAGATGATCTGGCCAGACACCTGAGTCATCAGTAGGCTGTGGTAATGGTGACAGATCCATTGTAGTTCGAGTTAGATTGACAGTGCTTTGACTGATATTTGTTATGTAAACACACAGGTGTTTATCATTGTTGATTCAATGTGCGAGCCACAGTGTGTCAGGTATGAACACGACTTGAACTTCATTTGAGCTCTATACAAGGCCATCATATACTACTGTCCAAAGCTCTTTCACACTATGAATGTGAATCACAGGTTGGCTCTCCAAAGGCATAGTGAGTTTTGGTTTGAAGATGGAAATATTGTCTTTCGTGTAAGTCCTACTATGAATGTCTGCCAAGCCTGGCTTGAATTTTCTCTACTATAGGCTGGCAATACCTTATTTTGTGTACATTGTGGTGTACTTGTTCGCCATTCTCCAGCTTTGGAAGGAATTTTGGCTATCCCATCAGGTTATGATACCGATGGTACAGAGCAACTTCCAATTGTCCTGCAGCAGATCTCTGAGCAGGAATTCACACATTTTCTCAACTGGGTGTACCACATGTATGTGTATCTACTAGTACAATATCACATAGGCAATAATTAAACTATATCTTCTAGCAGTTCAGTCCCTCCTCCACCTGAGGAGCAATTCCTAGTTGCTATCCTCAAGATTTCGCACCTATGGATGATAAGCAACAGCATCAAGTTTGCTATCGATGGACTGTAAAACCTCACTCTGCACTCTACCCGACGACTAGAGCTTGCTCGGTTATATTCCATACCCCAGTGGATCGCCCCAGCAATTCGAGAGATCATGACATCATCACTCACGAATACTACCGATAATGAGGCTACACAGATGGGGTTTAAAGCTTGTTCAGCTGAATAGATACCACTCATTTGCCAGTCACACCGACTTTCTGCCAGATTGCTTGCGCTAACAAAGCAAACAATTATACGTAACTTCATCTCATACTTGCATGGCCAACCTAGTGTATTGACAAGGCATCCTGTACTTGCAGACGAATGGGTCTATTACCGAGCATATGTATTATATGAAATAGTGTACTGTACCAAACTCGTTTCCACATCGCAAGGCGAACGAGTATATCAGAGTATATCTCATTAGTGCCGAATTTGAAATGATTCTCAAATTTCCCATGCCAATGTCATTTTAATTTTCGAGCATGTCCATGCGGTGTTCTGTTCGAAGTAACTTCTTACTAGCTATTTTTGCTATATAAAGTATGTCGACTGATTTCTTTAACTCATCAAGCTATGCTTGCTACCATTCTGTTGCTTGCTCTGCCGTTCTGCACTGCGGAGTCAGCATCCAGTTATGCAGGATCAACCGTCGTCGATTCTTATCCTCCTCCCGGTACTACCAACACTGCTGTTGACGCTTACTTCCCGGATGCATCTCAAGTCGGTTATGCAGGTCCAACACCTAGTAAGCGATAATGCTAATGGTGTTTCCTGTGTTCTAATCAAAGACATTCAGCTGGTGCTGAACCTGCGGCCATTGTCACTGCCATCCCATTCTCTAAGGTCGAAAACATATTTCCCTTGTCGAGGCCCAACTCGGCGGACAGCGCAGACAGCACTTTCAATGTGACGCGTCACTGGGGAAACTTGTCGCCCATGTACTCCGTGGAGTCGTTTGGTCTTCCTGATGCATCCCCCATCATCCCGGAAGGGTGTGGTCTCAATGCGGTGCATCTCTTGATGCGCCACGGTGCCCGCTATCCAACTTCTGGCTCCGGACCTTCTCAGTTCGCGTCTGACATTCATGCTGCTGCGCTGACAGAAGGATTCAGCGCCACTGGTGATTTGGAATTCTTGGCAACCTGGACATATAAGTTGGGCGCGGAGATCTTGACGCCTTTCGGCCGCGAATCGCTGTATGTTGGCTCTTCTTTGCGATGCTTCCACTGACGCTCTCCTCCGTCAGCTTTAGCAACGGGGTTGCCTTTCGCTACAGATATGGCCAGTTGCTTAATGGCTTCACGGACCTCCCAGTATTCCGCACTACTTCTGAAGGTCTGCTTGCATTGAACTCTTATTTCATGATGCGCTCTAATGGCTTGCTTATGTCGTATAGATCGCATGGTGGATTCTGCGTAAGCAATTCATTCACATTTCTGCGTGCACTGCGCCTAATAATGCTATCGGTAGCCTGAACTTTGCTGCAGGCTTTTTTAACGTCAGAACTTACGAGAACGACTATCACCAGGAGATCATCATCGAAGAGAACAACTTCAACAATACCCTCGCTCCTTATGATGTGTGTCCCAATGCCAATTCGGAGGATATCGGTAACTTCGGTGGTACTGAGGCCGGTAAATGGGCGGATATCTATCTCGAAGATGCTCAAGGGCGCTTGCAACCAATGATCCAAGGATTGAATCTGACAATCTCACTGTTGCTTGACATGCAAGAACTGTGCGCCTATGAGGTAATCCCATCCTTTTACACGGTTTACATGGATTTGTGACATCCTGCAGACTGTGGCCCTCGGATATTCCAAGTTTTGCGACCTTTTCACTGAGGAAGAATGGGAAGGATTCGAGTACTACATCGGTATGTTCCCTCAAATTATCCTTGCTGAGCTCAGCGGGGATCTCTATTTGCAGATCTTGGTGAGCACATTGAGTGGTAAACTTGCAGCCTGAGCGACTAATGACTTCATTGTGCACAAAGATTTCTGGTACGGTTTTGGACCAGGTAATCCAACAGCAGCAGCGCAGGGCCTTGGCTATGTCCAGGAGCTAGTGTCGCGACTCACTCACATTCCCATCAATGTCTGGAACAGCAGCACCAACAGCACTCTTGATTCGAGCAACATCACATTCCCTCTTAATCAACCTATATATGTGGACGCTACCCACGACGTGGTCATCTCCAGCAGTATGTTCCCACTTCCTTCCTTTCTAATACAAGACTACTGACGAAAGGGTTCAGTCGTCACTGCTCTGAACTTTACTAGTCTAGCTGCGACTGGTCCTCTGCCAACCGACCATATACCCCCTCACCGTGTATGCAGTCTCACAGATACTGCTTGTCTCTATTTCTGACGAGTCACATCAGTCTTACGTTTCTAGCCAGATCGCACCTTTTGCCAGCCAGCTTGTAGCGCAGGTGCTCAGTTGCCCAGCCGCAGAGGAACCAACTCATATCCGGTTCCTTCTGAACGATGGGGTGATGCCACTGACGGGCATTCATGGTTGCACGGAAGATTCGAATGGTCTCTGCACGCTGGCCAGCTTTATCAGCGGAATGCACGAACGAATTGGGGAAATCAACTACGCGCATGATTGCTTCGCCAATTATACTATGCCCAATCCCGACAACATCATCGACGGAAGATACCCCAGTTAAAAGGATGAATGAGTATTTGATTGTATATACGTACCTATCAGTTGACACCTTTTGGATAACGTTTATGATGTCAGGAAGCCAATACGTTTCTGACCAACAGTTACATGTACTGTGCGACCGCATTTATATACTGTTGCGCAGATGGATGGTGAGCGGTGTGGAGCTCATGTGGAGCACGTACATGGGGGTCACATGAATATTGCGCAGGCAACGTTTCACTTAGAATGTTAGATGACAGTCATGTGCCACGTCTACCTTTCCAGAACTTCGTGCTTCAATACAGGACTGTCAAATAACGTTATAACTGTTGCACCCTTGATTAGCAAGTCCCGCGACGGCGGCGGCTGTCTATCTCAGACAGAGATCCAAGGAGAATGGTCACTGTTATTTCGTAAACCAAGGAGGCATTGAAAACAGCCTATCCAACCTAAAGCATATAAAAGACCTTGCTGAACCTCCAAATGGCAGAATTCGAAGCTTTCCAACTGTCCGTGGGAACATAAACTTGAAGTTGGTCTGCCTGTGGATGTGATGGTACCACAGCCAAATAATATGAACCCATTGATTCATTGCATCCATATGGTAACCTAACATTAGAAGAACGATGTGAGAAGATATCTTGGTTCGACTATCGATAGGCCGGCCGATAAATTGTATCAGCCACGACATGTCGAAGCGCAGTCGTGGCGCCTACTACCGTGACGGCCCGGGAAACTTTCTGAAAGAAGCACTTGAATCACTATAGTACCAAGAAGCAAGTCTATACGCTAACAGTCTACGGCAAGGCCGACATGGGGATTCAACGGTAGTATCCTGTGTATTACTCACCAAGCGCACATAAGAGTCTGTTCCCCCACTCAACACTCCCACTGACCGAGACACCGAACAAGCATGGTGGCCACCACGAACGAAACATCGTCCAAAGGAATAACTCGAAAGGAGCTACCTCATGTCGAAATGACGCTCAAGGGTCATGAAGGGGATGTGCGCGGCATAGCTTTTATCGCAGGGACTCGTCTCCTTGTCACTGGCTCTGACGACAAGAGCCTTCGGGTGTGGGATCTAGACACGGGGAAACAAGTGGGAGAGCCATTGTGGGGTCACGATGCTGAAGTCTGGAGGATCGCAGCGTCCCCTGATGGACATTGGATAGCGAGTGGAGGATGGAATGGAAGCATTCTGGTCTGGGAAGTTGCGACAAACAAGAGAGAGCTCAAAAGAGTGCCCGTCTCGTTTAAGGGCCATGAGGATGTGGTTCGTGACATCGTATTTGCACCGGACAACAAGACATTTGCAAGTGCATCACTGGACGGAATGATGTGCGTGTGGAACAGGCAGACGGGAAAAATAGTCCTCGGACCGCTCAAAGTGGGCGATCTGGCATTGTCGGTGTCATACTCCCCGGATGGAACAAAACTAGCAGCAGGCACAAATGAGCACATCATCATATGGAATTCAGCAAGTGGAAAAGAGTTGCTGAAGATAGAACAGCGGGCATTCAGAGTCGCATTCACCGTGACTCCAGATGGTCTCCGTCTCGTCAGTGTTGACCAGAATGACATCCGAATATCAGATGCTACCACCGGAGATATCATCAAACAGTTCGACGCGCACACCGAATTCTTTTTATCACTAGCCATTGCTCCCAATGGCACCAAATTTGCCACCACATCATACGACAAGACGACGCGGTTCTTTGACCTGACCACTTTCGAACCCATTGACGAGCCACTCGAGCACCCTGATTTAGTTTGGTGTGTGGCATTTTCCGAGGACAGCAAACTCATCGCGACTGGCTGTAAAGACAGCTATGTTCGCACATGGACAGTTCCTCTGGTGGAGTCGGAGAGGGAGCTTCAACAAGTGAAAATTTTTCTTCGTGCCATGCCTCATGCTGACTCTCCTGTCATACAGTTCACTGAAAAAATTCTCGAGGTATGCTTTCACGCTTGTTGTTTTGTACGATCCCTAACTTCAGTCCTGCAGAAAACCATCCCACGCCAACAGTCAAGACGTGCTCCAATACCTACTAGTAGGTTTTTTGATGATGTAAGTTCATACAGTATATTCGATGCACGTCTCACCATCCTTTGACAGTTTGATCCACATCCTCCACCTGGACGTAACAATCCTGCTGCTACCGCCACGCGTCATGCTGAGGGGTCCGGGATCAAGAACATCATGAACCGTCTCTTTTCCCGCATTTCCCCTCCCCAGGACCATACTCCTCGCTCACGCAGTATCCCCCTTGTAGACGTCTTCGCGACACGAGGCAAATATGTACGTCTTCCTCTGTTTGACGCATCCCATGATGATGACACTTCCCCGCAGCGCACCGCTAATGCCCACAGTGGAAAAAGGGATAAGTTGTTGCAGCTACAACGTCCTCCTCGCAAGCAATCCTATGCCGGTGCCTCAAGCAGCAGCACGCCGCTGGCGGTGACATCCAATGTGGCTGATGAAACTACGCCAGCAACGTTGCAGACCGGAAATACCAGTGCAGCTAACAATCCCCCTTCCCTGTTGGATGTTGAACATGTTTCAGACATCGGCTGCTTTGCAGCTTTCACAAGGTGCTTCCCGCGTCTTTCACGTACTCGACGAATAAGTCATACTACTCCCCACATCCGCTAAGCGGCCTCTCCTATCCGAACCTTTTCATTGGCATAGATACCACTGTCGCATTCATTTTCTTATGCAAACCAATGTCACTCCCGATAAACGACTGCAATTGTACTATGATACACAACATTCATAGATGTTCAGAATGGTATTTTCTCTTCATCATCCTTTCGGGAACTCTGGACAGAATGCGAAAACGGCAGCCAAGACTCTGATCTGGCACGCCTACACCACCTCGGGCTATAAAAAGACCGCGGTTTTGGTGACCTGGTCGGTGCCGTCGACATCCCCGCAATCTCGACTAAAGCACGACCTAGATCTTAACGAATCCACTAGAGAGCACTACACAACCACCCTGGCTTAATGAAGGAAAGCCAAATTGGTATGTCCAATAATTACTGTTCGTATCTCAACGTTTTCCATGTTGGCTTAACATCATTAGCCGGAGTCACAGCAATCTGATACAGTTGCATGTCTTGTATGATGCTGTTGCCAACGGTGATCAGGACATAGATATTATCGGCGAGAATCATTCTGTAAGTACTGGTGCAGTGATGCTCACGAGTCACAATATTAGAAGGACAAAATTCATTCACCACTACAGACTCGTCAGTAAGAGCACAATGATGCACAGAAGCTCGTTTCACACTCCTCAGTCTGCAGCTGGCGTTCTCTGTTCAGTGGTGATTATAAGGGATACTTCCGTCGGACGCTCCACTCATAATCCACCGCTTATCTGGGGACGCTGCAACAGTCCTCGAATAGTTCGACACCCGCGCTATATCGATAGCAGTTTGTATGCTTAGCCTCGCGCGTATATGGGCCAGTTCAGCATCTCTCGCTCTGTGTCCACATGGCGGCCAAACTTGTAAGGAATCAATTGGCTTGCAGTGAGAAACTATGCAATGGTGCAAAACTGCCACTTTCAAGACCCAATTATGCTGGCAGGAACGAACATCTCATTCTCCCTCGGCTTGACCTGGAGGTACCATTGCCACAGCCAACTAGTATCAAACGATTAATTCGTTACGTTCATGTTATCACTTATCAGCACAAGATAAATGTAAGAAGAGATCTCGGGTCGACTGACTCAGGCGTGGCCAGGAAATTATATCAGTTATGACAGTTGAAACACGGTGAAAGCGGCCATGGCGCCTACTAAGGAAAACTCCTGGAAGAAGCGCTGAAGATGATCCGTATGCATGATACCACGTGTCTACAGCAAAGCTGACATCAGGGTTCAGGGATAGTCAGTATCCTACAGAAGATGCAACCTAACGACCGCTCACCATAGCGCATGTAAGTGATTGTTGCTCCCTCGATATTCCTACGCTCGCACATGGACAATTCCTCTGAGCGAGTCAGAGAAGGAGCTCCAACAGGTGAGCAAATCATCTCGTTGTATCATACTTCACGCCCGGTGACCTGTCATATAGTCCACTCATAAAATTCTCAATGTACGCCGCTTTCACACTCGTTGTTTTGTACAATCCCTAATTTCAGTCCTGCAGAAAACCATCCCAGACCCACGCCCTCGCCCAAAACGCGCTCCAATACCGACTAGTAGATTCTTCGATGATGTAAGTCCATATGATACAGTAGATCTGATGCGCATCTCACTATCCTTTGACAGTTTGATTCAACTGAACGCAACAATCGCGCCGGCACTACACGCAACGCCAAAGGCTCCAAAATCAAAAACGTGGTAGATCGTATATTTTCTCGCTCCTCCACGTCCCAGGGCCATACTCCTCGTATACTCGGGGTTCCCCTTGTGGATGTCTCTGCAACACGAGGTAAATATGTAAGCTTTCCTGACTTTTCGACATTTATCTAGTGACGTTGATATTGTCTCGCAGCGCACCGCTAATGCCCACAGTGGAAAAAGGGACAAGTTGTTGCGGTTACAACGTCCTCCTCGGAACTGGCAAGCTCATGCTGGTGCCTCAAGCAGCAGCACGCTACCAGCGGAGACATCCAATGTGGTCAATGAAGCTACACCAGCAACGTCGCAAACTGGAAGTACCAGACCCTCTTCCTCACTAGACGTCGCACACGCCCCACACAGCAGCTGCTTTGCGGTTCTCGCAAGGTGCCTCCCATGTTTATCACGACCCGCTTCAGGTTCCCACTAGGTTTCTTCTCCCTTCTGAGCATTCTCGTTGGAGTAGATCTTACTGGATTCGTTGGAAGATACTTACGCAGTTCGATGACGTTCCCTGTAGAGGACTACCATTGTACGCAGCATTGTCTCGTTTAGTTGAATAGATACCACTTATTCACCGGTCATACCTAATCTTCTGGATTGCTTGCGCTAACAGAGCAAACAATGATATGCTTCATCCCATACTTGCATGGTCAACTTAATGTACAGTACACATCCCAATAATGCATAATGAATAAAAAATTATAACAAATCAGGATCCAATCTTTTCGAGATGCACAAAGTCGTCCATTCATAGAAATGAGCTTGGTCCATATATTGCTGTTAATGTATAATTTTTTGCGCCCAAGAATGATTTTCTAGTGATTTGTTTGTATTTTATTTATTTATGCATTATTGGGATGTGTACTGTATTGACAAGGCATCTATCGACTGTCGCATACAAGAAACATAGTGCATTGCATATCCTGATGTCAGCATAAGCATAAAGTACTTAAAAAGTCAAACACCGCATACGCGGAGAGCAGCACGCGGACCACTATGCAAGTATACGGATGTACCGTAACATTCGTGCACGCGACGAGACTGTCGCATGACAACCGCCAGCTCGCTCTGAAGAAAAGGGATAACCTGAAGATACCGACAGGCTGCCAAGATGCGACAAGAAGTGCAAGGGAGCTGGCCTAGCTAGCTGCGGCATCACCAGCCACGAACCAGTCCTACACATACCAGCTCGCGCAGTCATAGTGCGCGCGCATAGGATCCGCGGCAGTAGAATAACTCGCGCCATCTAGAACACAGTTACGCCCGATTGCGTCCCCGCATACTGGCTCTTCACGTCGTCGAGGTCTGTCGTGCCGTCCTGGCTCTTGTAATCATACCCGCTGATGCTGGCCATATCAGAAGCACCAGCAGCAGAGGAGAAGGAGCCACGCCTCTGTAAACGGTCTGACTGCGAGAATGCCATGGCAGAACCACCAATGCTTGCGGTGCTTGGCGGTCCAGCATCCTGAGAAATGATGGAGCTGGCGTAGCTACCGTACGCGCTGCGCTTCCCAACACCCCCGGAGCCACGGGGTATGCCAGGACCAAATCCACCAGCCGCTGCAAACATGGGGAGTCCAGAAGAATAAGTGGCTTGGGAGCGTAGAGACTGCACGTCAGACGGGATGTATCCGAGAGCATCATGAGTACGGTAGAAACTAGTATCGAAGCGACTTGGTGTTCCAGATCTGCCTGCACCTCCAGTGCTGGGGATGTAGTCCCGTGCATTTGTCTCGTGGCGACGAAACTGGTCCATGGACTTGACGAGGGAGCGGCGAGGTTTGCTGAATTGGATCATGCTCGCCTGTAAGTTATTCAGCGGGCCCTCGACAAGGGTGTTACGTTCCTTGTAGTGCGTAAGAAGGTAGTGCCACAGTGGGTGCTGCAAGGTTCAATCAACGGACTGCAGGATCGACCACCAAGGCGACTTACCTTGCTGAGGACCTTCGGGTTTCCAAGGATGACGACTCCATACTTTGCACGAGTCAAAGCCACGTTCAAGCGACGAGGGTCATTTAAGAAACCGATGCCCTGGTGTTCATTGCTTCTAACACAGCTCAAAATGATATAATCCTTCTCTCGTCCTTGGAAGGCATCGACACTGGCCACCTCGATATCCTTATATAGCTCTTTCTTGAGAGACCCGTTGAACTGCATATAGTTGACAATGTAGGAACGTTGGCCCTCGTAGGGTGTGACAACGCCGATTTGGTTAGGTACAACACCCGACTTGAAGAACTTGGTCACGATCTTCTCAACGTTGGATGCTTCCGTTCTGAGATCAGTGATAAGCGACAGCAACTGGGATATGAGGACATGAGAAGTACCTATTGAGGAACGAAGTTCCGCTGGAGGATATTTCCTCCTGACCAAGGTTCTGGTAAAAGAACATCGGAGTGTCCGGGGCGGGCCAAGGGAAATCAACATTCTTGCGAAGACGCTCTGGAGCAGTGACACCGTTCTGTAGCGTGCCTTCATAGAACATGTTCGAGGGGAACTCGGACAAACAAGGGTGCATGCGGTACTGCACTTGCAGACGAATGGGTCTATTGCCGAGTACAACCAGACGTTCGAAGAGCGATTGTGTCAGACCAGCACGCGCCGCTTTCTTGTTCATGATAACCGGACCCAGCTGCTGATGATCACCGACGAGGACAACCTGCTTGCATCCAAGCACCAGAGGGATCATACATTCTGGTTTAAGGTTAGCCAATTACTGATTCATCAAAGGATATAAGCTCCGCACCTGGCTCAGCAGCTTGCGTAGCTTCGTCGATCAACACCGTCCTGAACTTGAGTTTGTTGAGGCGAGGGTCACCAGCACCCACGCACGTGCAGCAGATAACATCCGCAGCACCCAAAATCTCCTTCTCACACTGCCTGATCAATGTCTTGTACTTCCTCTCATCATTGGAGCTCAATTCTCCTTGTTCGTTCTTCAGCATGATCAACTTCTGCAACTCCACATGAGTTGTATTATTTGCCACTTGTTGGTGCAGCGTCAAGAAGGCGACGCTAGAGTCTAGAGCTTCGCGAGATTTGGCGGTCAGACGCACGACCTTCAAACCAGTGGCGTGAATCTTTTCAGTGAGCTGGTCGACAGCCACGTTCGACGGCGCGCAGACGAGAACCTGACCAGGATTCATCTTGGCAAGATGATAGACGATGGAAGCAGAAGTTACGGTCTTTCCAGTACCAGGAGGGCCCTGGATCAGACTAATGGGCTTCTGCAAAACACTCTTGACTGCATACATTTGAGAGTGGTTAAGCTCGGGAAGACCTGGCGCAGAGAATCGCTTAGGCATCTGCGTGCGGAGAACCTGGGGAGCAAGATCATGTCCGAGAAGCTTGTGATACTGGCGAGGGACTCAGCAACTTCAATAGGATAGAGGGACGAACGTACAATGTAGCCATTAACACTCTTCTCATCGACTGCAAACGTCTTCATTGCCAACTGCATCCTATCAAAGCTGGTGGATTTCCATACAAAATCTGCCGCAAAATTATGCGTGCAATCGGTAGGTACACCTTCGGTCCGTCGTAATTCAAGCCCGATTTCGTCGGAAATGTCTAGAAAATGAGCATGAGCGCAACACTTCGTCTCGTGACATAAAGCTTACTGTTCGGAATCTTGATGACATGTCCTACCCCGTCCCAAGCTTTGTGCAGTTCGCCCTGGTACCTCAACCGTAATTCATCACCCACAGCAAGTCTAACTTCACCGCTCTCAAGCTTGGGCAAGCAAAACCACGCAACTCTCTTCTGGTTCAAACCAACATCCCATCGGACAGTTATATCAGTCTGAGTCTGACTCTCCTTCAGGCGTTTATCATAATCAGCCTCGATCTTGACAAGGGGTCCGAAAATATTCTGGTACTGATATGCGTCCTCGTAGTGGAGAAGGATAGGCTGCGGTTCATCATCGACACCAGGCTTCTCGAGGTCCTCCAGCGTGGCGTTGGCATTTTCACGCCAGAGATCTTCCAAGCGGTTAATCTGGTTGAATGATATCTGGCGAGATCGGAGTTGTTCGGTTTCGGTGGGAGGCTTCACGAGCCACGAAAGGAAAGACCTGTCATCGATCAACGGTGCCCATAGGGAAGCGTTCCAAGACATATCCTTGCTGACCGTCGCACAGGGCTGGCTATACATATGCCATGAATATGAGTCTCAGTGCTAACCTGGCAGGCTTACCGACACAAAAGAATAACAACAGTATCGCTCTTTGCGGGGATAAATCCCAGCATGAAGACGTTCTTGCTACCACAATTATAGCATTCCGGGGTAGTTTCCCCGAGCGGACTCTCGGCATGTAAAATAACCTCCTTATGCTTTGCACGCACTAGATGGTTCACGATATGTGAGGCGGAAGTGTTGCCGCGCGAGTTGCAGAACCATTTAGAGCACACAAGGCACTTCACGACGGAGGCCGGCGAGTGGATCCCACAATAGCTGAGCGGAACCGATACGGATTGAGTCCCACGAATGATACGTATGAAACTTACCTGCAGGCATGAGGAGGGAGATCCATAGTACCCTCGTCTTTGAGGTCATCAAGAACAGCATAGAAATCTTCATCTACACCAGTTCTCGGTGTGTGATGGTGGTGCCCTTCGTGTCCATTGTTGTATGAGGATGTTTGGGAGCGATCGTCTACGATAGAGAGACTTTCTAGGTCGACTGGCGTTCCGGTGTTCGTAGTTGCAGTATATACAGAGGAATTATCATCTACAACGCTGATAGCGCCGCCATACGATGAAGCTGAATCTGTATATTGAAAGTTGTCGAAGCTGTCCATGGTGGTTTGCGGTAAAAGGTTCTTTACAGCTTGCCACGGTACCTCAGCCTCATTAGAAAGAAATCCCACGCTCAGAATTACGAAATGTCGTTCAATTGATTCGAGCAAGATTCAAAGGACCGTCAATTTCCTGCAACTGCAGCTTAGATTAATTCACGGAATTTCAACATTTAGCAAGAGTCCCGAATACATACAACACAGGATGAATTTCAATTCCATTGCGACTGATACAAATGTTTGAATACTGCAAATGACAATGATCCAAGTCCCCATCCATACGGATGTCAAGATGCCACAAATATGTACCGCCAGCCATAATGGAAACAACCAGATAAAATAAAAAAAGAATGAGCGACTTTGTTTTAGGATGCATTACATACAATTAACGCCTTTGCTTCTGGCGTATTCTGGGACGCGTGGGCGTCTCATTGATGGGTGGTAAGCGTGAAGGGATACCGTCCACTGGGTGCGAAATCGCTCTGCTAGAAGGTTCGCCAAGAACTGGGCGATTGCGTTGATGGCCGGAGGGTTTGGAAGGAGGCGCCCACTTTGATGCCCTGATGCCTTCCACTCGCTCCATTGGCACATCCTCGACTTCGGCAGCTAGCGGCTGGCTGCTGTCACGCGCACACTCCTGAGGTTCCTCGGGCTCTGTAGACTCTTCAGAAACTTCCACTTCGAGGTCTTGGTCCATGGCGTCTACATCCGCTTGTTCTATTTCTTCCCCCTCGTCTTCCTCCTCAGTGTCGTCATCATAGAAACCACTTGGAGGCTCTCCAATCCATTCATCCTCATCAGTGCCAAAGTCCCACACATCAAGCACTGTAGCAGGATTTCGATTGCTGGCAGCGACACACCAGCGACCCTCGAAGACTACCTGCCAAACACCCTGGATGCCTGTCAGGAGATCACGGACAACGGTACCATCGCGTACGTTCCACATCTTGAGCGTACCATCTGACCCGCTGAGCACCTTGAACTCGTCATGTTGGAAGCACGTGATAGCACCTGTATGGGCAGCAAGGGTGTGGCGTAGTTCTCCAGATTCAGGATCCCATATGCGCAAAGTGGAGTCGGCGGCGGCGGAAACGAGGTGGGAAGGGGAGAGGCCGAGTAGGCCGACGAGCGATGTGTGCCCAGTCAATGTATGTTGACACTGCCCTGTTCGTAAATTCCACACACGAACAGTGCCATCCATAGACCCCGAACAGGCGATCTGACGATGGATATCAAGTACAACGCTATACACTAGGGACGGGGCTTTAATGACAGGGTTTCGAGGTATACAGGGATACGAACCTTTCTGTGTGTGGCCCACAAGCACCCATTTACATTCGCCAGTGATGATGTCCCATATTCTTACAGTACAGTCATAGCTGCCAGATACAAGGGTGCGGCCACGGGCGGCGAGAGCACGAACTGCATGGTCATGACCTTCTAGATGCATCTTATGATACGGATTATCATCTGCATCCTCCTGCAGATCAAAGATATGAGAACAAAATGCGAAACGCCTTATACAATCTTACATCAGCTGGGTCAGCCTCGGAGTCATCTGCACCATAGCATCTGTACTCAGGATCACCGGGGCGAGGTAAAGTCCACACACGAAGGGAGTGGTCACGGCTGCCAGTCACGATCACTGACCGCTTTGGCCACTTTTCCCTCGTAATGACACCGCTATCGCCTTCGATTTCGATCCACTCTGGCTTGACGATAGCCAGACATCGGACAGTGCTTGTATGGCCGCCAAATATATGCGTACATCGACCAGTTGCAAGATTCCAAATTCGGACTGTGCGATCAGTCGACCCGCTGACGAGCGTATCTTTGCAGGCGGCAAGCGCCCATACGCCACCTTCATGGCCATCCAACATTTGCAGGAGTTCACCTGTCAAAGGAGAATACACATGAATTGAGTGATCATCGGACGCCGATATTATGCGTCCGTGTGAGAGAAGAAGACAAGTGACGACAGAGGAGCCGTGTGCGGGGAAGGATCGATGTTTCGGGTTCTCGTTGTCCACCCATCGAGTTCGAGTGAGTTGTCGGGATTTGAAGAGCATCTTATATGGATGAGAGAGGGGAAGGGTTTTGGGAGTAGGGGGAATATTGAGGCGACGTCTAGCAAAGATTGAATGCGCAAAAGCTCGCTCTGTAACCCCTCCAAACCAGATCTTGGTACTTTTGAGTAGATCTGACCAAAGTACAGGATCAGAGTCGATAATGACGCGCCAAGCTTTGGATACTCTGGAGGCACGAACTACAGTAGAATAAGGAAGGAAACTCAGAACATGGGATGCAAGTTCTGGGGGAAGTAATGTTAAAAAATCACGCGCGAGAGTCGGAGTTAAAATAGAATGCAACGTCCGCAGAACGGGTAAGGGAGAATGCCGTAATAAAGTAAGGAGGAAATGAGATTGTAACGGTTGCGGAAGACTTGTAAAATGTGATAAAAGAGACGGAAGGGTAAGAAGGGTCGTTAGGGCAAGATCTGGTTGTAGTGGTGCTTGAGGTTGTGGGGAAGAGGCGCCACTAGGAGGTGCAGAAGGCCATATAGGCTGTGGTGGTGGTGACCCATGAGGAGATGGTAATGGTGATGGAGGTGCGGCTGCATTCAAAGTAGTGATCGGCGGAAGATGTGTCGCCCTTGCCTTCTTTCGAGGAGGCGTATGTGTTTCGCGCTCAGTCGTAGGCTCTACGCCCTCCATCATATTGTCAGTGCCGTGTGACCTTTTTCTGCCATAGCGCTCAACCGCCTCCACCAGCCCAACAACCTTGCTTGAACTGCCGGTTGAGTCGGGTCTTACCATTGTCCAGCCCTTTCCACTCGGAATTGGCTCCTCCTCGTCCAGATCTCCTTCGCCGTCTGTCCCGTCGCGGAATGTCGCACGAGAGCCATTAGGAAACACAAGGGGGAATCTCTTGATGGATGAAGGAAACTTAGCATGAAGCAAAGGATATTCTCTAGGGTCCTTTGGCTCAGCCGGAGGTGGTAGGGGTGGTAGTTGTATCGGCGCGTAAGTGGTCGTGGTCGTCGTGGTCGTGACTACCCTGGTCAACAAGTATATGCGTCAACGACAGCTCGGATAAGCTAGAATAATGAGTATAACATACGTCGTAGTATTGACCGACGGTGCAAGGGCCAGCGACGGGCGTTGCTGGTGGGTCATGACGATGACAAGATAGAAGTTATTATCCTTAAACGTTTCTCGCTGTCGCCGAGCCACCCTCCCCCACACGACTAAGCCTGGACATATTCGAGCGGAGTTTCATTTTAGCCATGTCGGCATCTTCTGCCGTGTACCTAAAACCAAAGTCGGCAGTGGTCTGCTAGTAAAAGCACTGTCCAGTTCTTATATCAAGACAGGTCAAGCCGTCCAAAGTCCCCGGTGACGCTGTTACCTTGTTACTTTCCAGTTCTTTGGTTCTTTCGATTGGCACACGCCAGTCAAGATTTGTTTATTTTGTACCTTGCACCGTGACAGGCCTCCGGGTCGAGAGTCGCTCGATGATTGTCTGATTACTATTGTGACCTGATTACTACTTCGCTGCGATTGTTACCTTCCTACCGAATGGATCTAGCTCAGGACAACCAAAACGCTCCAAAGCGCAGACTCAGTCACAATCCATGTCCATACCTCCAGCGGTGATTCCATAAGCATTTTCTTAAATCTTTGGCTTTTGTTCCTCCAGATTGGTGACATGTCATTCGAACTCTGAGCAGGACGTTGCGGCATCTCACCTCGTGCACACATTCATTCCCATTGGTTCCAAATACTCAAATGAACGTGGCGACCCTCTTGAAGGTGATTACCATGGCCGCCACTAAACATTGCATTCATTTTAACTCTGCATGGTCATACACGTTACACGCTCGCGGATCTCTAGTCAATGTCAACATCCATGTGTTACACCCAGACATGACGGGTCCCGTCGCCCTATAATTTGCCAAGGCCGTGTAAACGACTTACAGGCCAACCTCCGAACAAATGAGAAGTCAACAAATCTGACTTCTATTCGTTTCCGCGTCCGCCACATCACGTCACCCCGCATAACATACCTACTACAGTCAATTCTAAAATCCCAAGCACATTCAAGTTCGCTTGTTTTGATCACACTTTGACGAGCGTTGCTTGATTGCAAAAATATCATCTGCATCACTCTCAATATCTTGTCAATAACGGGTCTTGTAAACATCAAAACTCACCGTGCACCTTGTCTCAGCTATCGTTGCGCCTGTCTTGGAGGTTTTTTCCCGAGACTATTTGATGCGGTAATGTTCGGTTTCTACCGTCACTGGGATAACCAACACTCTGTGGACCGCGGATCATTTTTTGGCCTCGGAATTGCCCATGGTCTTCATGAAAACGGATTTCCGTTAATTGGCCCCCCATCTTTCCTGCGGATTTCGGACACCTAGTGCCGCATCAATTGTTGGTTAACGCCGGTCCCGAACATTGATGTGTATTCTATCATGCATACCGTTAGACGCGGACATTAGATGCCAAGGAACACCTTCTACGTCTGTCGGAGTGCATGTAGTAACCCATACAGACTTAGACGGTGTTTGCGACGACCTACAACAGTATTCCAGACAGAGATTGATAAATTCTAGGAGATCAGACGCTAAGGAACACCTTCCAAGCCTCTAGGAGTTTAACTCGACTCCCACATGCTTGAAGTACCTACGACGAAGCAGTCATCCAGATAAAAGTTTTTGATATTGCCCAAAGAAGTGGCGAGCCGATGCGGTGGAGCAGTGGAACCAGAAGCCTTCGGGATGCTGTCGTTTTCGTCCGAATAAGTAGGAACCGATAGTAGAAGCCTTCGAACTGATGCTGCTGTCATATGTCCCGAGTCATCTGTGTGATCACGATCACTATCCATACATGTACTTATGCAAGCCAGACACGTTCCCTTTATTCTACCTTTCGTGGCAGAAAATTCTGGGTTCGTTGTAAGAACGTGTAATTCATATACTGTGTCGTGCGAGGGATAATTTCTTAGCCTCATCATTCGAGTTTCTGAGCTTGACGGCACAATGGACTACAAGATCACGACATTTCGTTCTTGCTGGCTCCATGACGAAACAGGCGTGTCCCAGGCAAGAATCCTCACCTCACCTCACTCTGGGACACGCATTTCTTTTCTGTCAGGAGCAGTGTCCCAGAGCCAGACATGGGACACGCAACCTTTTTCGGCAGCCGGAGTGAAAGTTTTACCTTTATAGCCTCAAATAGCAGGACGCCTCGATTATGGGGCAAGGGGGGGATGACCTGCTCAATTGATTCAATATTCAGGTTCATTGTGGCCTGGGACACCAAAATTGAATCCCAAAACACACAATGAAGAACGGCATCACGGCAGGCCTATAAGTGTGCCTGCAGGACGAGGGGGCCGCAGTGGAACTATCAAGTTAAATTTGACCAGGCGCAGTATGTATAGCATCTGGATAACAGTCGGTGTAATCACCCTCAAACCACGAAAGACAGACGGGTCTATTCTTTTCTTAGTCCTTCATCTCGTGGCGTTTGCCCTTCGCAACGAACATTTTGACGGAGAACTCTGGGTGGATCGTCATAGGCTCTGTGCTTGAGTTAAGGGAGGTTTCCTGATGAATATCGATGCCAAATGGTCGTTCTGTATCAAGTGCTGATTACGAACAGGATCGTAGAGAGTGGTTTCCTGTAAAGTTATTCATCAATATCACCACGCCACGAAGATAAAAACTCTGCAATAAAGCGGGGGACATGAAATCGACTGCCATCTTGTGATGTGACCATGCTGGATGTTAGATGGGGACACAGAACACATCAATCCAGTTACCCCCGACACATCTGAGGAGTTTCAACGAGGCCAAACGGTGGGATCTAGAAAGCTCGCAACATTGTCCAATAAATGCTTCTCACGAGCGAATACTATTTGCTCCCGCCAAAGCCAATGACGGCTTGCTGGAGCAGAGTTAACTCTCTCGGAGATCTCCAAGCTGGATTGAATGCGGTACCTAGTGACATGAGTAACGACAGGGTGTCCCAGCATGTTTGGCAAGAGTAGACAGAACCAATGACAGCACAGGCGCCCACGATATGATCGGAATATCTTGCTTAGAGTAGTTACGCCGTTGCCGATGCAAAAATAGGCGGATGAACAACACATGATATCAATTGGAGAGCACATGGTGTAGAAGGATTGTCATCTAGGTGAGTGACTCGTAGACATACGGGAGAATTGATCGACGAATGATAGTTGATATATAACAATGTGATCAAGTGTTGACGTAGCATTCCCGCCTGGTCTCGAAGGATTGTTGGATGATTATGTGTTATTGTCATATAGCCCATCCACACCGGCGAACTGTCGAGGGTTGAGATGTAATTCCAAAGAGAGTGATATCGAGGACCAGGATTACGTGGACCGACGTCGATTGGACTCGGAGCGGAACAAAGCGTTCAAGCACCAATGAGTGATAGGAGCTGATCATTGGGCTTCCCTTTCCGAGCCATCATTGACACGCGGTCAGCACATGTGGATATGATATCTAAAAAGGGTCCCTGGAAGCGGGGTGGGGAGTACCGATCACCAGAGAGAAAAACATACCTCTGACAAAAAAAGAACTGCTCTTGGTTGTTCATGGTGACAACGGTAAAAAAAAGTTAGCGAGCAAGGCAACCCTGTCTGGACCAGTAAAGGTGGGGACGAAATCCCGTTGAGAAAAATGATTGATAGCGGGACTAGGCTTATTGCAATACAAAGAACGTGGAAACGCACATTCAATCGACTTGTCTGCAGAGCAGGGTAGAACAAGCGCCTGGCATTTGTTCATGTCCGAGCTCCACCATTGACCAATTTGTTGTACCCGTTCTTCCATCATGTAGGCTGTGCTGTAACTGATGGTTCAAACCATTGACAGTGAAGAATTGGCAAATGTACACGTGCCTTAGTACAGCGTCCAACTCACGACACCTGTCTCCAAATATATGTAGAAATGACAGCTGGATGATAAAAATATGTCGATGGCGACTAAAGATTGAGACCATGTACAAATACTTATGTGGCATGTTGCTCCCGTGTAGGTTGCACGATAAGACGCTTTGTCGTCAGGGGAGCGCCAACTGGAGGGTATTTGGGAAGGAGCGGTGGGTACGGACACGGTATACGGACATGGAGCTACTTAATTTCCGAGCGTTGTCTATCTTTGTACATAGATAGAGGTCTAGACCGGACCAAGGTCTGAGGGGACGTCCGATTTGTGTATAGACTGTCGATGCGTGACACTGTGCAACACAGCTATTCGAAGCCCTTGAGATTATTCGCGGTTATGAGGGCCGTTTGTGACCCTGGGATAACAGCAGGCACCAAGCAGAAAGAAGAAACGAGCACGCGGACGCATTACCTGAATTATTCAAACTCCGAAGATGCGTTGAGGCGAAGAGGTCGCAGAGGGGTGAAGACCAGAAGCGCTGAAATCCGAGTCTCTCATCGGATTCAGTGTTATTCGTGAATTGTCCTGGGGATTTTAATTTTGCTTTTGACAGAAAAGTTTGAAGGTTTGTGAGTGGGTGGTCTTGTCCTCTTTGCGTGGGTCACAGTTCCTTTGATTTTTTTTGGTGACTTGATACTGAACAACTCCAAATTCATCTAGTACCCTAGTTTGGTTGACTATTCGTTCCTTGTGTGGAACCGTCCCATTCCGCTTGTGTGTGTGAGCGCATAACAGCGATTTTCCTGCGCGGTCCAGTCTCCTAGGTGCTTCAGTGTTGTCAGTTTCAGTTTCAGGTTTTAAAGTCTTACAAGGTATGTTCCCATCATATGTTATCTCCCCTTCAAGACATAATGCTTATGCCATTGTCGC